ATCTGTAGCCACAGGTTCATCCGTAGTCGATGGAATGCACAGAGCAAGCCCGCCTCTACAAAGTGGGTGGGATTCAATTTGACAGTTAAACCGTTGAAGTTCTGGCATTCCCCGTTCTGCAGGCTGCAACCAGGTATACTTGACACTGTGTGAGGAAACCAGGCAGAGGCAGGCCACATGGAGAGAGCCTCTCAGAAACCAGCATTTACTGTTTAAGCTATTTGTAATGTTGCAAAATGTCTGTAATGTAATTAATCTGCGGCTTCATTGAACTGTTCTATTTCATCAACATTAACCAGGTTTCTGACATGATTCAGGTTTCTGTACACACTGAAGTGTCGCAGTATCAAACTATCTAATCTATCTAACAGTAACTAATCCAAGTTTTTTTACCCCCAAATTGTGACATTTTTAAGATGGAACCTAAATGCAGACACTAGACAAGCAGGTAGAGTCTTTTATTGAGACTATTGGGAGGAGGTGAGATGGTGGCTGTTCAGGGATGAAGTGAGGGGGAAGGAATCTACATGGAGGCTTGATAGAGGGAATTTCAGGGGTGAGGGCTACTTGACGGGCTGAGTTGGTGAGCCTGGTAGACAAAGCAGGCAGGCAAACTAAGAAATGAACCAAACTGATACAAAATAAACTGGCCTCTGAGCAGGAAGTGTGGAAATATGATCTGACAGGTCCTGGCTGTGAATGCAGAGTTCTTGGAGACAATGGCGATTGTTTGATGGCAGGCAGGTGTGCAGACTGCAGAGTGAGGACCCAGGAAGGGAGACCACTCCCAGAACACATAGACCGGCAATCGCAGCAAAATACAGTTAGATTTGGGGCTTGCTCTGACGTCATGCACATGTGGGAAACAATAATGTCATGAGGTTGAGGCATCGCAGTTGCTCTCTACTGACTGCAAAACCCAGAGCCTGGTGGGAAACACTTGGCTGTAGCCTGATCAAATAGCTGATTGACTCTTAGATTTGACCACAAATATCACGTTTGCCTAAATTTCTGTGTAATTTTAATATTTTACTCTAGATTGCTGTTTAATGTTGTGCAATGAAGGTTAATCTGTTAACAGACATATCTTGTGTGGTTGATAACAATAACAATGTTTATTTATTCACTGAACATGGTCTGCGAACATTTCTGTTCCAAGTATCCAAGTAAGTAGTTATGTGAAGGACCGAACCATTTCCTGGCTATCTTTCTGCCCTGTTACACCTCCCACAATGCAGAGGCCTCGCTGGGGCTCACCACCTGAACGATTTAAGGTATTCGAGCCCAACAGGGATGCAGACCACTGGACTTTCTATGAGATGGTCTTTTTAAATCACTTTATACAGTCTGATTTGTATTATAATTGTATAATAGTTACTGTATTGTAATTGATTATTTTACATTAAAATGTTAACCTGAACAGATGTTGTACACAGGATTATTTGAATATTGAGTGGTTGTGCTTGGCCCTGATGTCACCATAAGCATTTGGTGACATTCCTGCAAGAAAGTTATTCACAAATATGTCAGGATATACAAATGAAACCATTTTTAACGTTGAGACTATGTCTACATGGTGACCTGAAGTTGTGGAGACCTCTGAAGACTACTTAACAAGGCGACATCATTCAGTTTTCATTTGGCTATATTTTGCAACCCTCCCATTCATCCAAATCTCTGGTTTTACTCAAACTTCCTGCAGTTATTGTGTTCACTGTTTGGGTTCATTGTACAGTTTATCAGTTGCTATCTCCTGTTATACACTAAATATACACACAATATAATATGAAATATCCATAAAATATGTCACTCAGTGATACAAAGGGCCTCCATTAAGGGCTGCTATAAATGTTTGTTGTGTTGGAGAGCGAGTGAGCTGCCCAGCTTTTGTTTCCTGTGTGCCATCTGGGTCAGACATTAACTAATTTGATTATTAATATATGGTGAGTGAACAGGGTTTCTTTAGTTAATGTACAATTTGTATTAAGATCATAGTTTTGTTATGTCTTGTTATCTGTTGTTACTGTTGTACTATTTGTGTTATCTGTTATTTGTGGTTTTTTCTTTTTTCTCTTGTACATAGTGTTTTTTATTTATTATTTTTTCCTACTCCTACTGTTTTTATACTGTTTTTTTTTCTCTATCCACTTTGCTGCTGCAACATTGGAATTTCCCCATTGTGGGACAAATTAAAGGAATATCTTCTCTTATTTTATCTTAGTTGGTACCTCTGTGATACTAGTGGAGCCAGATGCTGTCCCACCAACACCACAACAAACATGGTGGGGTAAACATTTTATTTGCAGATTTTTATAAAGTTTTGGAGATTAAAGTTCAAAGGTTAGGACTGTAATGTATTGGGAATCATTTGTATTATTTGACTGCCATCTTTAGGGCGTTGGGGAGAACTACAGTTTTGTAACATGTGACTGTTGAATTTGCTCAATGTAAAGTACCCAGTCTCTATGCATAGTTCAGTTTCCATCTAGATAAGATATTACAATACATTACTTCATTAGATGGGATTTGTACACACACACACACACACACACACACACACACACACACACACACACACACACACACACACACACAAACAAGCACAGTGATGACATGAAATATTAATATTTCTTGTTTTTGTACCAAATTATGTTATCCGCCAAAACAACACACAGTCCACATATATCTAATACCTATCTTTGTGGACATGGACTAGCAAATGTGTACATCACTACACACACACAAACACATATCACCATATATGTCCACACCTCTATGACCCCTTTATCCTCCCTGAGCCCCTGCTCCCTTGTACCTCAGCTGTCCAGCCTTAAACTGTTAGTGCTCATCCATGGGGACTCAGTCAAAGAAAAGGGGAAACAGAGAGGCAGCTAAGAACGGCAGGCTCCAGTGGCAGACTCAGGTTATCTGAGGGGCAGACAGTCCTGGACATGGTGGACATGGGTGCCTCACATGCTCAATACAAATATGCCAGCATCACTACACACAATTATGGGCTCTTACCCATGTGTACCTTCACACTGCCTTGTATAACATAATCCATTATTTTCAGTTATTTTGTAGCAATTCACCTTAACAAATGTAAAGGGAAATGCACATATGCAAAATATACAGATACCTGCTGTGAACAAACTGTCCAATATGGCCAAAAACAACAGTAATAACCGAAAACATCTCTCCCAGTGACCAACTATAATCTTAATAGAACTTGTACATTAACAAAAGACCGTTTGCTGCATGTATCACCATATATAATCCATATGTCCAACCTGCACACAGGAAACAAAAGAACATACACATCAGACAAAGGATCATACCCAAATCATAATGTCCCATCAGTCCCAAACCATTCATAAATCCCCATTAAAGGGAGGGGGAAAAAAACCACTTGCTCCATACACTAGTAAAAAATGTCACAAAAACGTCACTTCCACCCTTTTGATACATATGAGTGAGGAATAATGAGAGAAATAAAAATCATCAGAGTCCATCCTACAACCTGTGTTTACACCACTGATAATGACCATATCCTTCATAAATGATAATGATGAAGGATACGGTCATCGGTTTCAGAAGGAAATCACCCACCACCATCTCAGACCTCCATAAAAGGAACTGACGTTGAATTTGTCAGTCATTTGTTTGTACTTCCATAAGAATTTAAATGTTTTTACAGTGAAAAGGAAAATGATGTCCTTGTTTTGCCGGTCGAAGCCACCCCTGATGGCTATCTCTGACCAGCAGGTTCTCTGCAAGGCCAGGTCCATACTGGATTGTATGGACACTAATGGAAAATGATGTTATATTTACTCTGTATTTTAAGGGCACTGTGTTTTTCTGTGTATTGTGTCACCCAACTACTGGTTGCTTCCCTGTTCACCGCTTGGAACGAAGAACGTCTTATCAGTAAGACATCAAACGGCTTGTCACAGGGTCATAAACCAAGAGGACCCTGTGTCTCCCCCCTCTGACTCTTGATAGAGCCTTGCTGTAAACCAGACCCCACAGTAGGAGAGCTAAATAACACTGCAAAAGGAGCGTTTGTGGTAGAATGGGTAACAAGCAACAAGTTGGCACTTAATTTTGGTAAAACAAGGTCTATTATAATGGGATAGGGAGTTGAACCAACACTGACATTAAATAAAAACAATATACCTATTGAACAAGTACTAGAGACAAAACGTCTTGGCTTATAAATGATCTTGGTCTAAATAAATTGTGAGTAAAATGGGAAGAGGTGGTCAGTGGTAAGGGTGATGCCACCAGATGTCACTAAACAAGTTGTGAATGCTTTAGTTCTGTCACAGCTTGATTACTGTTTTTATGCTACCTAAAGCTAAAACATGTGGTTCAGAAAACAGTTTGGAACTGAGCCACAGTCAGGTGGAATTCACTGACAGTGCAGACTGTTCAAGAGGACACTAAACATCTGTTCAATATAAAGTTAAAACAGTATCTGCAATCATTAGAAGAATCATAGTCCAATTGTTATGACTGATCTATGTCAGACAATAGTTTATGGTTATTAAGGAGTATTATTTATTTGTATTAATGAAAAAAACAATGAATTCTTGAGAAAAAGTGTGACTAATTTATACTTTCTTTTTGTGTATGGCTGTGTATGTTTGTTGAAAACAATGACAATTTGTTTTTCTTCCATTGGTTTGTTAATTTAATGAGATGATAACTCTCTTTATAATAGCTGTCTATAGCAAAGACAATGTCCTCCATTTATCCTTTCTTTGACTAAGACGAGACCAAAACACTAGACTTTTTAACTAAAAATGGACCAAATGATAAGCTTGACTAAATATGACCAAAACAAACTTTTATAATTAAGACAACAAAGATTTTAGGTTATTTAAATAAAGATTACTTGAATTATGTGGTAGGTCTTCGACATATTTTGAGAATATGTCAAGAGAAAAATCTGGTCTTCTCATAATACTCTTATAACATAAGAGGCTCAAACTCCAAAGGCCATGTGAAGGGTCTATTTATTCAGAGTTCAGTGTTCAGTTTACTGTAGCAATGACAACAAAACCAATTCTTTGTGATTATTTAAAATTAGATAAAGATTATATTATGTGTATAATAATACTGAATACTCCAAATACTAAAGCATAAGATAAAGCATAACTCATCAAATTATTTAAAAGACCTTTGAGGAAACACACAAAATCAAAACAACATATGAAGATGAAAATGTGAAAAAATGACTTTCAGATTAGTTGGACAACAGAGACAGCTCAGAGGTTAACTCATTTTCTATGTCAACCGTCAGTTATGTTACAGAAATTCTTTCAAAACCCCTCAAAGGTTTACAAAAAAATACAGATAATAGATGTTTATTAAACGTTCATTATCTGTATTTTTGTATTTTCATTTTCGTTTCATGTCATGTCTATTCAGGGACCTTTCCAGACTCAAGTGGGGCACTAACTTATGCAGGGCTGGCATGAAGTATGTGTCTCAGCTATATAGTCATTCCCAATTTATGCAATTCCAACACTGTTCATGGTCCTCAGTGTGCAGAAACACTCAAATACGTTAAGTGAAAATAAAACATTTACCACATACAAAAAACTTTATAGGATTGAGGTCAAGGGATCCCTTTAAAATCTTTTTTTAATTACAGTATAACTTTGGAGTGTGACTTAGCCCTCTTCCAGACATGGTTGGATGTGTTAGGTCATGTAGTTTCATGTGTTACCATTATCTTCACTTAAAAATGTCAAACTGAACCCGCTACAACCTCTCAAAGACAGTGTGGAGTGGAAGAGAAAAGAATAATGGGGCGGCCAATCAGATTTCAGGGGTGGCCAGCGCTATCTCAGGCCCCCTGTCTGGACCGTATTTTCATATATAAGAAAAAAACAAAAAAACAAAAAAAAACAAAAGTCACATCGTAGCTTACATCCTTTAAATCATTTTTCCTTTAAGTAATGACAGAAAAACTTCATGTTCTTGTAAAATATAAAATGCAAATTCACAAAACAAATATATAATGCAAACCCCCTATGTAAAGCCAGTGTTTGGTTTGATTGTTCTGGGCTACTGTAGAAACATGGTGCACTCCATGGTAGACGGCCCGCGCTGTCTGTAGATAAAAACAGCTCACTCTAAGGTAACAAAAACACAATGATCCCTATTTACTATTTACTATTAACCCTCAATACTGCTTTTGTTGCACTCCTTCCCACAAATTAAAAACTGAATACAATTTGGGCTTCTGTTGTTTTGAGTGGAATCTGGATGTTCCTAACTCATTGCTGATTATACATTTCATCCAAACTTTCAATAGCGTCTTGATTACTGTGGATTCTCCATTCCCTGGGGATTTCTCCGCTGCGGTGGAATTTTAAGTTATAGTGGTCTTCAAGCTGCTTTTGAAATCGACATACAAACCATTTCCAGTATGTCAGCTTAGACGCATCAGGAGTAATCTCCCATGTAGCGTACTTCTCTCCAGCTGTTTGATACTGTTTATAAGGAGTAGTCTTATTTGAATAATGATGGGGGTAGAAACATCTATCGCTTGCAACTAATGTTGTGCAGAAATCAATGACCAGTTCATCTGTTTTTCTACCATGCCATCCCTGAATCCCACAGGGGCGATGAAAAGGTACATTGTGTTTGTCAGGACTGTGATCTTCCAGGGTGTTGGTACAAACAGCTGCACAAAATGGACACGTTACCCAGCAGCACTTGCACAGCTGATCAATGAGGATTTGATCTGGCTTCAGCCTGAATTCCTTCATTTTGTCCAGTGACAGGTTGCTCATCTCTTCCATGATGGATTCAAGGCCTTTATTTATCTCTTCTTTAAGAAAGTCAAAATTGTTTATGTCATGTAAGTTTTGACAACAAATGGTGCCAAATGTTAGCTCATCTTTTAGCAAACTGGAAAATTCCTCCACCCACATGTCTGTGTTTCCTCCCCAGGTATTGGCTTTCTCTGTTGCTGTAAATAAAGCTTGAATCACCAGCTTATTGATGTCTTCAACATTTTTCTTGAGTATTTCATTTGCTTTAGCTTTGTTCTTTGTGAAGATGTATTTTGTTACTTCCTCTTTTATGAAAGTCTTTACTTGAGTCTTCGGGTGTTGGATGTAGGTGAGAAAACCATCAAAGTCCTCTGTCTCTGCCAGTGACTTCAACACGTGTTTCTCCAAGTTTAGTCTGTTCCCACTGAATGCTGGGAAATTGCACTTCATCTCTCCAGCGAGATCAATGGCAGTCTTATTACAGACAGCCTCAACAGTGGAACTCTTGAGTTTTTCACAGATCAGTTCTCCAAGCACAACAGCAGATGAGTTTCCTTTGCAGAAGCTTCTGAAAATGTTGTAATATTGCATTTTCTTGCTTTCCAGATAAGTGAGTGCATCGTTCTTCATTTTGAATTTCTTGTGGGACTCTGAAAGCCAACTTTCTGCTCTGTCAAATACATACAGTAAGAGATCAACCATAAACTCTTTCTTCAGAGCATAATTCCACTTTGATTCAAATTCTGTCACTTTTGCTTTTACATTGTTACCCACTTCTTGCAAGTAAGTTTGACTGTAGCCTCTTGCAGCTACAGGTTTGCTCTTAATTGCACCAAGGGACTGTTTTTCAACATCATCAATGACAGATCTGATCAGTTGCTGCTCCTCATATGGTAAAGAACTACTTGATGTACGTTTTTTGTTTTGTTGTGTTGACCGAAATCCCCAAAAATTTTTAAAAGACACCCATAATGAAGATCCTCCTTCCACTTTTGGCTTCTTGTTTTCGTTCTTATCATCCTGGGATTGTTGGCCTGTGTCACAGGGATGTTGGTATTTTGGGAGAGTTACATAATCAGAGTAATCTCCGACTTCTGATATTTTGATATATCTGCCACTGCTTTTGGATTCAGCTATGAGAGACCATTCAAAACCAAGGTCTTGAAGGATATCTGACTGATCTTCTTCATAGCTGATGTCTTTAATAGAATTCGTGTCTGCAGTCAATTCATCAACCCAGCCTCTCCAAACAGAGTTGAACTGCTTTTCAAGTTCCTCTTCATCGTTTGCCTTGTCTTTTAACTGATGAGCGAGCTCTTTACTCTTTTCTAGCAGCTTGTTCTCAAACTCTGTCTTTTTCTCATCAAGCTTTTTACGAGCATTCTTCTGCTGGATAACTTCGTCCAGTTTTCTTTTAGCCCCTCTCACTTGTTCATCATAAAACTCCTTGATTTTGCTTTCAAATCGGCCTCGCCACTGAACCAGAATTTCTTTATTTCTGTCGTCATCAAAGTAAGCTGTCATATCTTCTTTGATCTTTTCATATGTTTTGCTCATTTCCAGGTGAACATACCTGGGCTCAACCTTGTCAAGTTTTCCATTTTCTATCCTGACATAAAGCTGATTTTCAATGGTCAACATGTTGCTTCTCAGGGCCCAGGTCCAGTTCCCATACTGGACCTCAAGTTTTCTGTACACTGCAATTTCTTGTGTGTTTTTGAAACTGAAAACAAAGTTTTCGTTCAACAGGGCATTCCACAGGTCCAAAATTTTGCTTTTGAACTGTGAGAAAGTGATTCCAGCAGACTGTGAAGCTTTAGAGAGGATGAAGTTCTTCAGCTCTTGGATGCTCTCACTATAACCTGGATTTGGGGGAGCCATAGGTGGACTTCCCTCCCATAGTTGTGCGAAGTATTTCACATCTTTTTGTACATCAAATGCAATGATGTCACTGAAGCACGCAGCATCACAGACCTCCTCTTTTGCCGCTAGTTTGGCCATCTGGTCCAGTTTTTCTTGCAGCCGTCTCTTACCATCCATGTTTTTCTCAGGGGCTGAAATATCTGTAACATTCTGATGTACAAATACACAACTTGGAGAAAGTTTAACTTTCTTCATCCTCATGAACGCCTGAACAACAATCTGCAGAACATCTTGCATCTCAGCAGGATTCTCCCCAAAGATATTGATCAATGTCATGTTTCCCAGACCAACAACAAATGTTGCTAGTTCATTGTCGTGGTGAAGAATGTCGTCATTTGCCAACTCAAGAGCACGCAGTCCTTCAGTGTCCACCACTAGAATGTAGTCAAACTTAAAGTCTTTCTTGATCTCCTCTGACATTTTGACCAGCTGCATGAAGGCACCCTTGGTGCACCTACCAGCACTCACTGCAAACTGTAAACCAAACATGGCATTCAGCATTGTTGATTTGCCACTGCTTTGTACACCCAAAACTGAGAGAACGAAAACTCTCTTGTTGCCCAGTTTCTTGATGACTTCATCTAAAAGACTGGAGATCCATGTTAATGGCACATGACCTGCATCGCCATTCATCAGCTCCATTGGGTATCCTGATATCATCAGCTCTGCAGCCAGATCAGGGTATTTAGACCAGTCAGTCTGTCCACTATTTTTTTGTTTCAGAAATGCATGGGCTTCATAGATCTGTCCCATTTCTCTAAAGATGTGCTCCAAGCCAAACGTTGCTGACTGAAGTTTTGCTGATATTTGTTCGAGCTCAGTTTGCTTGTTTTTTAGCTGACCAGATTTGTCATGCTTATTCTTCAGCGCCACTACCTCAGACCACTTTTCGTTATAGCTTTGGAGAATTAAAGAGAGGTCGTCTGTTGAGTGGGCATCTATTAAGATCTGAGTCCATTTCAGGAAATGTTCTTTGTCTGTTGATGGCAAAGATGAGAGGCTTTCTGTAAAGAACTTTATCAGCTTACTACAGGAAGCTGTGCATTGATGTTGTCGTATTTGCTTCAGTTCCTGTTGCTTTTTACATTTCTCCTTCTCAATGTGTCCTTTAAGGTGATACAGTTCTTTGTTTATTCTGCACCACTTATGCCACAGTTGGCCTTGACAAGGGAGAAATGTTTCTTTGACCTTTGAAACATCCATCCCCTGAATCAAATGTACTATTTTCATAGCAGCAGATTTCCCTTTTTGGCAGACTGGGTCATCTTCATCCACTCTGATTCCAGAGACTTCAGTCATGGTTTCGAGCTGGAAGGATGCTTGTGGTCGGGACAAAATTCCTCCAATGATTCCTTTTAGCTCTTCAGAGACATCTGACTGGCTTCTGTCCTTTAGACCCACTTTGTATTTTCCCATCTTCATCTCAACAGCACCACAATCATTATCAGCAATGAGAATAATGAGAGGCTTTGGAGACTGAAGAAGGGCTAAGATAACGTTTGTACTATTCTGGCTTTTTTCCAGAGTTGGTACCAGGACTACACTGACTGAAGATTTTTCAGTCAGAATGTCACGCTGTTTTTCAGTGAAGAGAGCATCACCATGAAGATTACAGAAGGCAATGCAGGCATTGAAGGCATCATTGGGTTTTCCAGAAGGGCAGTACCAGGCAATCTCTGCCACTCCTTCCATCAGATGACAAGACTTGGTGCTACCTGGGCAGTTTCTGTGGAAGAAGGTGCTGTGACGGTTGTTGATCAAAGTGTTCATCAACTGAGATTTAGACAGAGATAGTGAACCAAGACGAAAAAATGACACCATTGGCGTCTCTGCTTTGCAGATGGGCATACTCTTCATGGTGACAGTGTTTGGACCATTTCTGATTTGAGTTATCTTCCATGTTTTTCTTATCTGTCTGAATGTCCACAGAGGACAGACAATATCCATTGTGACTGGGTCAGGAACAAGCAAAGGTAAGGCATACTGACATTGTGATAGCTTTGTAATCATGTCCTGCCTTAAAAAGCTGTCTGAGCAGTGAAATACTGCCATTTGAACATCCATTGGATGCACACGAGTCTGTTTTGAGTGATCAGCATCTACAGTGGTGCTCAAAAGAGCATCTAAGTCACTTTTTTCTGTCTCAACAGCGTCAAACTTTTGAGCAGGCTTTGACTGGCTCACCTTAGGACCATCTTGTCTTACAGGAATATATCTGGCTCTGTAGTCTAACATCATCAACCTCTGAAGAAAAGTATGAGCAAGGTCTTTCTCACATGTGTCATGGTCCTGTTTCACAGGTGGACCTATTTTAAGGAAATCTGCTGGTGTCTGTTGATGTTTGTCTTGAAGGTAAAGTCTTCCAAGCAGTTCTTCAGTTCCTCTTTGATATTGTTCCTCCCTGTTGATCTCTTCAGAAATCTTCACTGGCTGCTGTAAGGAAACATGTATGTACAAAATGACAACATCATACAATGGGATATAAAGTAAATAGTACTAAATATCTTGTGTGAAGTTAGGAGTGTCTTACCTTATCCTTGTTTCCACTCATACCAATTTCTAAGGTACCTGCAAAATAATTATGAGGGTCAGGGGAATGTGCTATCAAATTAATGTATGTTCTTCTTTTTTTCTTATAATATTTTGATTGTTATAAGCGGTTTCATGTTATTGTACAATTAAATGTTACTTTTTTTCTTGGTTGTAGGTGTGTCCGACTTGAGTTCAGGTTCTCCTCCAGCTGTTGTGTTGTCATCGTTCTTTTCTGATTGATCAACATCACCAGGTTCATTCACCGGATCACACTAAGAAAACAAGTTATTTATTTAACATTTAGTTCACCAGGTTATAACCACTGAAATTAAGAACATGAAGATCACACATGTGGTACACCAATTCAGATTACAAGTAAAATCAAGGAAACGCAACATACTGAATTCAAGCCAGTTTGCATTTCAGCAAGGAGAAAGGAAACAGTTCTGCAAAAATCTCACCTTTACCTCTGCTTTAGCTGCATTTTGCTTCAGCTCATCCACTGCAGGGTGATGTAACAACAAGCAGGTTGCAGAATCAAACATAAACATCGTTATTAACCTCAGTTAACTATTATATAAAGAAATGATGTGTACAGTATATTCAGAAGGTTTATTGTTCAACAAGATGCATCTCTTCTACGCCAAATAGAGATAATGTGATTTATTTTATTTTAAATAACCAGTTTAAAGAAATGCAATAAAACAATAAAATGAAATTAAGTAATTCTCACATTCATTGGTCACTGTTGAAACAGTCTGAGGTGTTGGACTTGTGTCCTGCACTGCATCACTTTCCTCCATGGACCGCTCAGTCATGTTACTGCTGCTTTCATTGTTGACCTCTTTAACCTCATCAGCCTCTCCTGTCGAAGGTAAGATTTTAGATGTTATGGTTTTTTTGTAAAGGGTAAGTGTGACACTTTATAGCCAATAAATAACACTTCCATAAAGTGATATGTACAGCTCTACCAGGTGAGCATAGGGCACCCCGAGATGTTGGATGCTGTTCCTCCCTAACTGTTTTTGTTAAAATGTTACCTTTCTCTTTGGTTGCAGATGGTACAGAGTGGATTTCAGATCGTCCTCTTGTGTTTTCATGGTCATTCTCTGATTGTTCAACATCTCCTGGTTCGTTCACTGGATCACTCTAAGAAAAAGAATTATTTCATTTAACATTTAGTTCACCAAGTCATAACCATTTAGACTGAAAACATGATGGATCAACAAGACACAGTGATACACCAATTTACAACACCAAAATAAAAGCAAGGAAAAACAACACGCACAAACTAAACACAAGCATCGTCGTCACCGTCATCATCATTATTATTGTTACTGTCTTTCTTTCTCTCTACCTGTTCTGTGTTGGCTCTCTGTACATGGTTTTATAATATATTCAGTCTGGACCTACTCTATTTGAAAAGTGTCCTGGGACAACTTCTGTTATGATTTGCTAGCATACAAATACAACTGAAATTAAAGTTTGTATTTAGTTTGGGGGTGGGAAATAAAAAAGTACAAATATGTTGTTACTGTACATAAGTAGTTTTTTCAGGTATCTGAGTATTTATTTGTTTAATTTTTTACTTTTACCTGCTACATTTTTTTTAAATATCTGTACTCTCAGGTTCAGCATGCACAGTTCCAATCGTCAGCTTTGGAGACAGATATTTATTTAGGTGTGAGACTTCGAATCTGATCATAAAATACAGGAAGTTATAGAATACAAATGCTCCTCTATAATGATGATCACGAATAAACGTTTAAAGCTAATCTTACCTTCAGTTGGTTGGTTTCAGATGCATTCTCCTCCATCTGTCCTACTGCAGGATAATGTAAGAAAAAGCAGATTGCACAATTGGATTAGTTAAATTAAAGATTACAGATTAGATTACATCCCTTTCATTTCTGGAGGTGGTTTTTCTGGGCTGACAAGGGTGATGTTATGTCCCTAATATCACCCTTGTCAGTGTGCATCACGCGACAGACACAATTGCTGTAATTAAATGATTTTGCCACTATGTCATATTGGCTTCAAAACCAACCAAAAAAACATTTTTTAACCTTTATATATTCAGGGAAGGTTCAGTGAGAGGAAGCATCTCTTTTGCAGGAAAGCTCTGATCACATTGACGCTGTTGCACATTCACACCTGGAAGCTGTCCAGTCTGTTCTGCTGCCACTGAGCAGCTGCACTGGAGCTGTGTTAAGGGCAGCGCGGGGGTGTTAATGAAGGAGGGGGAAGAGCTACTTCTTCACTTTCCCCACCCAGACTTATCCTGCCAGTCCAGGAAACCGACGACCTTCTGGTCACAAACTTGCTTCTCTAACATTTGTTTCACACTGCCAAGCCCTACCTGCCTATACTGAGTGTGCCTTTGATAAACACCATACAGTAAAAGCCCTGTTAACATGTGAATGTTAGCAGCTGCAGCTGAGAAGCACAACTCAGGTGGACAGTGTGACTGCTTTAATGTGTTTTTTTATGGGCGCAAAATAGAATGCAAGACGTTCCGCCATGCACAGGTGCTGCTCAGGTAAGCAGTGTGAACGAGCAGTTAAGGGCACCGCAGTGGTGTTACTGAGGGAGGGGCGAGAGCTACTTCTTCACTTTCTGACAAACGTCTGGTCACAAGCTTGCTTTTCTAACCTTTACTCCACCACTGCCTCAATGTTATCCAGCGTGGCTGGGTTGCAGCCGGCTGGTTAACCTTGACTTAATGCAACTAACATTACCACCAACAAAATACCATCTGAGTGGATATGTTAGTTGGCTTATTAGCCCTGCAAAAATACTTCCCCAGCTAATGTGATCCATAATACTATGTATTATGATTAATGTGTTGATTTAATAAATGATGTAACGGTAGAAAGCTAGCAATTGTTTTTTACTAGCCAAGAATGATGCAAGGTAAGGGCATCCAACTAACTGTAAATTAGCTAAGCTATGCTGGGGTTGGCTGCGCAGTGTGGGTCTGGTGTTGGTTGCTTCATGGTGTTGGCTGATGGGGTAAGCAAGCTAGTTGCATGAGTCAGTGGTCCAAATAAAATATATTAACATTGCAAATAGTAACATTATTCTAAATATAATGGTCATTTATTTTATCATATTTACTTGTCCTGCTTCCAGTTGTGGTTCGGGAGGCAGACACCCTCACCACATTCAAGAGTAGGCTTAAGACATTCCTCTTTGATAAAGCTTATAGTTAGGGCTGGATCAGGTGAGTCCTGAACCATCCCTTAGTTATGCTGCTATAGGCCTAGACTATCGGGGGATTTCCCATGGTGCACTGAGGTCCTCTCTTCCTCTCTCTCTCTTTCTGCACTCATTCATGTTCCATTAATGCATGTTACTAACTTCCCTTCTTCCCCGGAGTTCTTGTGCTTTCTCGTCTCGCAGGTTCTCATGGATCCTGGTGGAGCCTCCTGTCATGGTCCTGCTTGACTGCCATTGCTAATATCACTGATATTATTGTTATTATTATTATTACTATTAATTTTACTACAGTTACTATTATTACTATTATCATTGTCCCCCATCGATGTGGTTGTTGCCGTCATCGTCGTCGTCGTCATCATCTTCTTCATGTTCATCATCATCATCATCAGTCACTACTATTAGTGTAGTTGTTGCTACTGTTGCTGCTGTGCACCTTTGTCTCTGTCCTTCTGACTTTACCTATGCCTGTCCCTCTCTCTCGCTCTCTCTCTCTCTCTCTCTCTCACTCTCTCCCTCTCTCTCTAACCCCAAGAACAACCACCTAGAGCCGAAGGATCTGTCCTAGGTTTCTGCCTTTTAACAGGCAGTGTTTCCTTGCCCTTGTCGCCAAGGTCTTGCTCATGGTGGTACTGTTGGGTCTCTGTAAATAATGTTATAAAGAGATCGGTCTAGACCTGCTCTATTTGAATTGAAAATTGAATTGTTTAACTTTAAATTTAGTTTGAAAGAGGGAACTTCTCAGTAATCATTTTTTAAAACACACATGGGGTGGCGATATTTATAAAGGACAAATAATGACATGAGCAAAAACAAATAAAAAAATTAGAAATAAATAAACACATGAAATCGATAAAATAAATACATGTAAAAATACAGAAATCATTCATTACCAAAATGTAATTTCTTTTTCATGTATTTGATTCCGTATTTCTGCATTTATTTATGCTTATGTAATGTTTGTAGCTAGTGAGCTTTACTTAAGTACACAACAATGAAACCTCACCTTTTTGATTCTGCTGAAGCACTGAGGAATCTATCATTTCTTCTTCATCTTCTTTGTGGTGCAGGTGTTCCTCCTGCTCTTTATTTTCATCATGCATCAGTCCACTGTAGCAGTGTGGATCATTTTCACAGACCATGACATCTATTTTTTCCAACAGAGCTAGTACTTCTTTTTCATCCGTCAAACTTCTTGTACATGTGTGGTATCTTTTTTCAACCAAACTGCTGTTGGCTTTCAGGTCTGTCAGTTCACTTTCACATTTTTCATCTGAGTCATGAGTCTCAACTGTCATTAAATAATCAAGTGATCCTTTACCAAAAGCTTTCTCTAACCACTGCACTCCTGAACTGTAATGGCTGTTATGCAGACCAATTGGCAACAGCAAGAGAAAGGCATGAATTCCCTGATTTAATGGGAATTTGTCAACGTGTTGTAGACCAAGCATGTTGATGACAGAGATGTGTCGACCACATAAATCATACAGTTTGGCTGAAAACTGCTCCACATTTACTTGCCCATCATGGTCAAGTAGGATGTTTTTTGATCCAATCTCAATGGAGTTTGTGTCACCAATTAACATGAGTGTGAGTTCAGGCATCACTGAAACAAAATGAATGGTAAAGAGTAACATCAGCACGTTAAACTACAGTAATCACTGAAAGAACAAAGGTAGACAATAATCATAAAAGTTGATAAACCAATTCTCACATGGTTAGTTTAATGTGTTTTAATAATTCTCCTATGTTTAAAACTCAACTGAAATATAATCTATAAAATCAATGTTACTGTACAATCAATTGTTGATTCAAATATTACCTTTCTCATTGGTTGTAGATACAGGCTTGAAGTCAGTTCCTGTGCATTCATCCTCTTTTTCTGAGTGTTGAACTACACCTGGTTCATTCACTGGATCAAACTGAGACACAAAAAAGTACGTAATTTTACAGGGGGTTTCCATATTTTACAGATTTCTCTGTATTTTTAAATACATAAATGTAAATTTAAATGTCTAATCTAAAATAACATAAAAAATCTGGATTTCCCTTCTGTCTGTTAATGTTTGTTGTTTTTTTAACAAGAGGTTGAGGAAGGAGTTCCTGAAACAATCCTGGTGTTCATTACATTTATTGTATTTCTGCATTTATGACATAAAATCAATAAAGAGACTTGTCAAAGTATATATATAGTTCTCAACTTTGGTCATCCAATGTCAAACCAGGAGGTTCATGAACGTACACAGGTGTCCACTTCTATGAATATTTTCTTCACTTAAAATTTAGGAAGGATTCACTATGGCAGAACAGAAAAGGGAAACTGCTGAAGAACAAAAGAAAAGCAGCTGTTAGATAATAACGACTAATACCTTTGCTTTGGCTGCACTCTCCTCCATCTCGTCTGCTGCCAGGGAAGAAAAAGAAAATATGTACAGGATCAGCATAAAAACAAACAAACACAATTAGTTTATGAAATATAATTTTCAAAATTTTTAAAGACCTTCGTCATTTGGTGTCAGAGATTGGGTTTCAGACTCTTCACCTGCCTCCATCTTTTCTGATCTTCATCTTTACAGAGTTGTAAGATAAAGTCATTCAGACAAATACAACAATCACTGCAAATGCATGTTAATATTCAAGCTTATTGAGCAAATTATTCAACGAAATAAATAAACATACTGCACATAAAACACAGAAAACGTTTTGTGTAACATCCTGATGATTTTACTGCAGGTGGAATGACTTAAGGGCTGTGACAAACATGACTAAATGTGCAGTACATTTGGGGGCTTTTAGAGTTACATGCAGGGGACAGTGTCTGTGTATTTCTCTTAAATACAAATTCATGATGAGCAAACATGCCAAATATTTTGATACCAAACAGTATTAGGGCCAGGCATAAGTCTTAATAAAATGAGAATATGGAAGATATTTTTTAATTGCATACTATGCATTTTCACATAATTTTAGACTATTGTTGTTGCAATATTTATTTAAAAAAAACCCACACGTTGTAGTTTTTCATATATACTCTGACAGTAGCAAAAAAGATGTGCTGAACTGGATTACAATTTATTTAAACATTAAATATAACTATTACTTCTAGAGCAGTGACAACGTTCAGCAAATTCAACTCAATAATATCTCACTGGAAACGAAATAAATAACGGGCCCTGTATATAACAGTGTGAGTATTGTGATTAATAAGCATTAGGATGTTTGGATGGTGCCGCATTTGGTGCCTTTTACGCACAGCACAGGACGCGTACGTGGGGGTGGCGCTGGCCAAATACAAGGCTATCGATCGATCGATACCCTTGTATTTGGCCAGGTGTAACTTACACCTGTGTGCAATACAGAGAGCATATGTTGTATCACAATAAGGAGTGGAGCTCAGGCAGGCGCAGTGTCTGACGCAAAGGTCCCGACGCGCTGTGGCACATGGATTCGTAGATTAAGATGAATCTATACGGCATCCGTTGTTGGATTGACGGTTTTAGTCGCTATGTTATGTAGATGGAATCTTACAGAACATACAACGACCCAAATGTAATCGCAGACTACTTCCTCACATCCATTGTGAGCACAATGGGCACACAGTTTGAAAGAGACGAGCTGACTTTATTGTCGGCATTTCTACTTTACTCTTTCTACTATCTTCATGCTTCCCAGATTTATTTACATTCTATATTTTAAGTCATCATTGTTGGATAAACTCACCTTCTATTATGTGCTTCTTTTGCTCTGCTGGTCTGATGCTGCTGTGTTCCTTCTTTCCTTCCAGCCCCAGTTTATAAAGCAGAGGTCACAGTCCACCAACAAACCCCTCCCACTCGATCTCAACAGTTCTGCTGGGATGTGATAGCTTTGAGGAGCTGAGAAACTCTGCATGCACATTACTTGTAAATCAGTGATGACAAAGAGCAACTGAGAACAGACTGCTCTAACTTACGTTTTCCCCTAAACCATGGGACTTTTTAGAAAACGATACTTAGGCTTTGGAGAGGTATGATCTCATTGGAAGCTTTATCCATATTGCTGTATATAGCTTTATCTTTATAAGAAAACGTGTGCAGCTATCAACTCACCTTTTTTAAATTCCACTGTATTATCACTCCCTGTCAACAGTAATTAGTTACACTACTAGTTGTATTACTTTTTTGTTACTTTTCTTGGTAACTGTGTCCCTTCTCCCCAAAATTAGGATGATTGTTGTTGTTGTTCTTCCAAGCTAGTTTCCTCCACGATTACAAAGATGAATCCAAGGATGTGATTGGATTTTAAATTAGTAGTGGGTGCCAACAAAAGTAATCTTATAACTAATTATTTTTTTGGTGTGGGGTAACTATAATATTATTACTGAAATGTATTAGTTATTAGTTACACTACTGCGGAAAGTAATATTATTACTAGTAATGAGTTATTGCCCAACACTGATCTTGTAGAACAATCAACATGTTCAAAAATAAGACCCTATTTTTTTGATTGAGGTGTTGTGTTTACTTGTAAACTACTAAGTGAAATGGGGGACCTGGTTGTAGGGGATGTGACATCTCTGGCTCTCAGTATTCCACAGCACTTATCAGTATATCTACTTAAGTGCTGTCTCTCATTAAAGCTTTGTTAACATATGAACCTGGAAAGAGTGGGGAAGCTCAGGAGGATCACTCTTGCTTTTTCTTTTCATTTTCAAGACATTCAGTCATGACAGCATCCACTGAGGGAAGTGTTACAGCTGCCTCCAGTCCACAGTGCTCTTTGCAAGCTACTAACTCCTCAACATGGAGTACCAGGAGACTGCTGCACGTACAGGAGGGCAGGTTTAATAAGACTATTTATTGCTCACTGTTGTTAAATCCTGAACAGAACCGGTTCTAGTACCACAGCTAATTTCCACTAAAGATCCATAGATCCACACTTCTCTTCCTAATAGATCCTGTTTGGAGCCACGGTTCATTCATTTTAATCCTGGACAGGAAATGCTAAATGCTTATTGTAATTTACATTTCAGCTATCTAAGTGTTTTCTTTTTTAAAAACATGTCTTTATTGTCTTTTAGAAAAGAGAGACAATAAGGGGAATAACAGTAAAAGACAAACACGATCTGAACAGTAACAAAACTAAGAGAAAAAAATAAAAATAAAACATATAGTTTATAATTTATACAAAATGGGAGAAATAAGAAACCTAAAAACAACAGATCTAAAGGAAACCAGCCCCATTAGCAGTTAAATCAGTTTATCATGCCATCCATCATTTCATGTATTATGATGTTCCAGGAAATTGTAGAAAACATTCAGATTTTACCAAAACGTTGTTATTGTTTAATTATCTTATCTTTTCAAGAGCAAAACGAAAAGCCATTCCTTTCAGCCTCCAAGAAACAGACATTGAGTAGGGACCTGACATTGTTTGAAGTTTCAAAATTGTCTGCGTAAATATTCAAAATGTAAGATTAAGAGGTAAATTTTTACTTATAATCTGACTGGTCAGACCCAGCACCTTCTGCCATTAAAGTTATTTAAAGAAGTTCTTTGTAGGAATATCGAATGTGGTTTTAAGTTCTTTAAATTAAATAAATGTACTTCCACTATAAAGGCCACACACCTTAACACCTAGAGCTCCTAATGACATCTGCAAGAATCCACTGGGCCTGAGTGAAAACAACCAATCATAAAAACACTTTGGGTTGGAGACTTGAAGAGAGCTGATTGTTGAGGCTCATTCCCAGGGTGCCAAGCGTCTGTATTTGACCCTGGAAATGAGAGTCAACAATCATTCTTGGCTCTGATTGGTTGTTTTCGTTCAGTCCCGGTGGATTCTTTCAAATCCCATTAGGAGCTCTAGGAGGAGCCAGAGGAGCCAGGTTCTTTCACAGATTGTCTCATGTACTGCTGTAAAAAGTATATTTATAAATCCCTACTGCAGCGTTTAGCTCTATGAGTGTCTACACCAATGATGTTTGTCGGTGTCATACTAAAACAGGTTATCCGGTCCGTCGGGCTGTGTTCGCCGGTAGAAAATAAATGGATAATAAATGGAAATCCGTCGTCGTCATCAGTGCTGTCTTCCACCTGACTGGCCAGTCCCACGCCAGAGCGTGACGTCGCCGCTGCCAGCGTGGAACGCACGTCGCGCGATAATCCAGGAAGTAAACTGTCCGGTTCTATCTGCGGCCGGATCTCACAAGGAAGTCGGGCCAGTAAATAACGTTACGTGTCAGATTCCATATTCCAACTGGCTTTCCCGAAGACTTCCCAAGGGACACAGCGACGACTCCTCGCCACAGATATCCTAGCGTCCCCGTCCACAGCAGAGCCGCTCCGTCAGGCTGGCAGCGGAGTGCAGTGACGGTAAGAGAGCTGTGTGTGTGTGTGTGTGTGTGTGTGTGTGTGTGTGTGTGTGTGTGTGTGTGTGTGTCTGTTGCTAGCTAACGTTAACCCTCTAAGTTCTCCGTGAAACGTGTGTTTTGAGTGGAACATTGCAGCTGCTCTCTCGCCCTATCACCGCTAACGGGTCCGCTGAGAGACAGCTGAGAGAGAGACAGCTGAGAGAGAGACAGCTGAGAGACAGACAGCTGGGAGACAGCCGCTGACACTGCGGTCCTGCCAGGCGAGCAGCAGCCTGATGGACCCAGAGGATCCTCCTCTGATAACATGACAGCAGCAGTGCACCTGTCAGAGCCATGCCACGTACATGCCAATGATATGAAGCCTGTATAACATGGAAATAATAAAATGACAGCTTTATTGTTGGTATAACAAGTAGAGGCACAGCAATATGCCTGGAGTAATCATAATAATATTACTAATAATCAATCTTCAATGGTATAGTTAAATAGAGGTTTTCAAAGTGTTTAATAATCCAACTAAACATACTGTCAATAGGTAGGGCTGCACGATGGGGTAAAAACACCATATTGCGATTGTGATATGATTCAGGATTAGTGTAGTGATCATTTTTGAATCACAAATTTAATTTTCACTGAAAAAACTATTCAAATCATGATGATGTGACATGTATTGGGGTCTCTAACAAACATGTTCTCTTAAATCTGGAGAACAAGATTTGTAGGCCAGTGCATCTCTGCAGCACTACAGAATGGCATTATAAAGCTATTTAGTCATATTTGACCTTTTTCAAGAACTTACAGCTTCTGGGATTTGCATATTGTGATTTTGATCATTTTGTGATTAGCCATACCGATAGGCCGACACATGGTAAAGATAAATCAACAAAACTGTAATGAAACAGTGATGAAATAAGTGTGTGTGTGTGACCAGTTCTCAGGTATACATACACATTTTATATATATATATAATATATATTTTAAAGCTTGTTTTATTATATACACACTATAAATGTATTTATAAGTGATTCATATTTTATTTATTGTTCATATTAAATATATTGATAATTATGTCATATTTAAAAATCAAACAAATGCATTAAAAAAACTCCTTCAGTCATTTAGTATTAAGACGTGTATACAAATAGTCAGTCTGGAATAACAAGTTTTTTTTCTGCAAAAGTAAATAAACAAAATGTCCATAATAATCACATGTGTCTTACCAAAGGGTAGGAGTTATAATATATTAGTAATATGAGGATACACTGCAGATCAAAGTTGTATTTTCTTGTTTTAGAGACTTCTTTACAGCTAAATGTCACAATGCTCTGAACTTTGAAGCAAAATATCAAAATGTTGCATGTATTTAAATGTTTTCAGACAGTACCCATATAAAGTGTCATTACTTTAATCATAAAGTTTTACATTACAGATATACTAACAGATTTTAATAATACAGCAGTGCCCTTTAATCCCCACATTTCTCTATCTAGGTTACACTTGAGTAGTTGAGTTAGAAGATAGCAGCAGAGATAATAAAATCTGATAATTTAGGGTAAATTGTTTCATTCATCACTTAGCAGTCTTAAATAGTAGATCAGGTTTTTATGAAACTGTGTCGCTGCTGTCTGTGCAGCAAGTGTCCAAAGTAAACATACAGTGTGCAGATGAAGTGTCCACACCCACTTGAATGCTCTATTGTATTCTGTCCTTGAGGCTTGACATTACCGCATATTAAATATAGTCAGTCAGTTTTCATTTGGCACTAGAATAGAGGAGTTCAAGTTTGTAATCGTGGAAAAATGTGAACTTATTACCAAGCAAAAGTAGAATTAAGCTAATCTATCTGCTTCTTCTTCTTCTTCTTCTTCTTCTTCTTCTTCTTCTTCTTCTTCTTCTTCTTCTTCTCATTCTTCTTTAAACTGTGACTCAGGTGAACCAGAGGAAAATAAGTAAGGCTGCACAATAATTTTCTGGGCAGATAATCAGAAATTTATATTAGAATGCATTATTCTGATAATGAAATTGTAATAATAATAATAATCAATGAAAATCATAACTGCTGTTGTTTTTGTTGTGGTAATGATGTCAGATTTGTTTTTTTGTGCGAAAACTACAGGTTATCAACTTCTTTGTTTTAAAATACAAAAATGGGAAATGAGTGGTTATCTTATCGTTATTGGCTATGAGAAGCAGGTATTGTTATTGGGCTAAAAATAAGACTGAGAGATTAACAAACAGCTGTGTCCCTGAGCCAGATGCTTATATGCTGATGTTTAACAGTTCTAATGCTTTTTATGTTCACCATCATAGTTAAGCATAATAACTGACAGAGGTTTGGTCGACTGTTATTGAAGCACAGAGCTAAAAGTTTGCAAAAGTGTGAGTATAAACACAACGAGGCTGTAAAGTCGGACTAGTGAGTAGATAAGTCTCCATGTTTTAATGTTACCGACAACCTCTGTTAGCAACCGCCTTTTTTAAGACTAATGTAAAAGCTTCAAAATTCAAAGCATGAAAATCTCTTAAGCTTGTGTTAACCACAGACCCTGTTTTAAGCATCTTACCAAAAACACATTGACTTCCAGGCGAGGGAACTGGAAGTGCTAAAATGCTAACTTTACACATTCCAGCTGTTTATGAGAAGTTCCAGGAAAGCTACTGTATACACACTGTTGTGAGATTGTTTACTTGGACATGAGCGATGTTACACCACCTTTATTTTTATTTTTTGGCATTCATCAGTAAGGGTGTAAGAAAATATTTTTAAAAAAATCTATATTTTCTGGAACTATAACCATTTTCTTAAAATTAGGTTAAAAGAAAAAAAAGCAATATATCAGAGGGCTTCACATGGTGTTGTCAAATTTCCCTCTGATATATTGCGATTTTTTTCTTTTAACCTAATTTTAAGAAAGTAATGATTTTGTCTGATGAACCTCCTTTAACAGCAGTACAATTTCATCATCATCCAGTTTCCTATTACTGCAGTCCATAGCTATCTATATACTGAATTTAAACATCATATATAAGTATAGAGTATATAATTGCCACGTATTCCTTGTGTTAATTAGTGGAGAGGAAAAAAATCAGTAGTTAAAATCAGTAGTTTAAATTAAGTAGTGTGCTGCTGTTTTCCTGCCCTCATGGAGTCCCCCATAACTAAATGCAGTCCAGTTTAATGGGTTCATTTAGGCCTGAAGGGAAACAACAGAGGCTTTAGACCAAACAGACCCTTGGGTTGTGCTCTCCATAGATAGCTATACTTTGGTCTTTTTATGGCTCAGTTTTCTCTTAGTTACTGTCTGCTGTGTACAAACTTTAACATGTAGCAACATGTTTGTCCTAATATTCTCTCTTTAACTGTCCTAGCACACACACACTCCTTAGACGATGGTGGACTCCACGCTGGCTCAAGTGGGCAAGAATCTGAGTCAAGCCATGAGAATACTGGAAGACGGACAGAGGTAAGACTAGAGACTTACTGTACCTTACCGTTAATTTCGAACACAGGCATTAAGTCTGGTGGCTGGGGCACAAATGCAACAAAATACCAATATAGAGTATCTTAAAGCTGCAGTAGGTAACTTTCACTAAAATTTTTGTCATATTTGCTGAGACTCAACAATCAATGACCTTTCTCAGCTCTGTTATATTAGTATATAGTTACCTACTACAGCTTTAAGTTTCAGTGTTCAAGTTCTTTAAGGTTTATCTGTGCTGTGCATCTCTTTAGAAAACTGGAGGCAGGAACAGAGAGGCGGCGTTTCAGCAGAACCAGCATCCCTGGACCCCTGCAGGGAGAGTAAGACAAATTCACACACACGGGGTGTTTCACAGTTAATGAGAGCAGACCCTGCTGAACACATTACTATGTCTCAAATGTTGGAAATACAGCAGTTAAAAAAGTTTCTGTTGTACACCGGTGTCAGAGGGGCATTGTTTGAAGCTCATTGAGCAATATGTGTAAGTTTGGTAACTTGGATAGGTACATTTAGTGAGAGTGGATTTGTCAGGATTCTGAGGGGAACCCAGAAGCAGACTGGACAAGAGGTAGAGTGTAAACAGTTTATTAGACAAAGAGTGAATATGTGAAAAGGGGGAGCTAGCAGGTGAGAGTGGGAGTCCAGAGGTGAGGGTGATCCAGATAGTGGCTGGCTGGCAGGTTTGGAATGTGGGGATCCAGTGGCTGGCTTACAGGAGGTGCGGACTGAGTGGACTGGGTTCCAGGGCTGAGTCCCAGGAATGATTTCTGAGGCAGAGAGAGACAGAGACAAGGTTGCGAAAAAGGCGGCTAGGCGAGGAGAAGCACACAGGCAAAGCAGTAGCATACTCAAAAATTTAAAAAGAACCAAAATTAAATGGGGGGGGGGGCCATAAAAAAAAAAAAAAAAAGGTTTGTTGACCTCAGACAGGTGTGTGAGAAGCCAGTGACAGCCCCAAAACACCACAAGACAACACGAAAACACAACAAGCACCCAACACGCAAACCATAGACAAGCACAAACACACACAAACCGTCATCACGACCGGGGATTCGTGACAGGATTAGTTTATCTGTGTTTTGAAGATCACATTTTATACAAAGTATGGAAATTGTGGGAGTTTGCAGTGTTTTAAGGTTGTGTGATAAAAGAGCCCGAAGCTAATGAATGGTTTCTTTGCGTTTCCTGTGCAGTGGTCAGGATGTTGCCACTGTACTGCACCTAGTTCACAACCTCATACATGAAGGGGAGGAGGAGGAAGACAAGCCCAGCCAACAGTAAGTAGAACTAATCAGTGAAAAAATGATATTTTTCTGATTCTGATTCTGATTCTAATTTTGATAAGCATACTGTAGTACTGTCTGCATTTTGTACTTTGACTGTTACAAGTAAAGCATTAGTGTTTGTCCTTTTCTCAATCATGTTAAATACATAGCCATAAAATATTAAGTAAAGAACTATTTATAACTATGAACAAGATGGTGCAATGTTTGTGGTGATTATAGCACTTTAAGATGTCAAGTCATGACAATGAAGAAGCTGAGTCATGTCATGCGTGTCATTTACCCATAGTTCCTGATTATAAAAAAACGTTCTTGTACAGTACATGCATATATCTGGTCTATTTCTGGACTGTTCAATATACAACCTGCTTATATAAAACAACACCCAAAATAGCCTGATTGCTATAAGGAAATTAACAGTGTCACAATACAACTAAAGCTAATGTATTTACATCAGAGAGCAAGTACTCCTCTATGCGATTAACAGGAATCCCACGTGCCCTGGAAAACCTGGAATACCTGTAATAAATGTAGATGTAGGGACTAGTTTTCCAGCCATGGAAACACCTGGAAATGATCTATCTTGTCCTGAAAAACTTTATTTGTATTTTAGTCCTGCACTCAGATCACCTATGTAAACCACAGTGCGTATATTTTTCCAAACTTGACTGTTAGTAGGATGAGCTGCTCGCTATGATACTTCAAAACGACATCGATTTTACTGTCAGAGGAAAACTGTAGTAAGCTGTAGTCAATTCAGCTGAGAGTGAGACTGCAGCAGTAAAATCAGCTGTGGTCAGAACAGCCAAGAGCGACACGAAGCAAGCTAATGTGGAGCATCCCTAAAACTGACCACCTACCTGAAATGAACCTGAGACACTTCATCAGGAATAAAACTGGAGTTAAATGTGTCAGTACTAGACCTACTGGTAAATTTGTATGAGCATTTGTAAGCAAGTGCTGTCCTGTCCTGGAATGGTCCTGGAAAATAATTTCTTAAAAAGAGTCTGAATCCTGAATAAGTAAGGAATGCAATAGACAGCCCTCAGTATAAAGTGTGTGATAAAGCTGTTGTTTGATGTCTCTAGTAGGATGCAGAATGTGGGTGAACAGGGTCACATGGCCTTGCTGGGTCACAGCCTGGCAGCCTACATCTCGGTCCTGGACAGAGAGCGACTGCGGAAGCTGACCACTCGGATCCTGTCTGACACCACGCTGTGGCTCTGCAGACTGTTCAGGTAGGCCCGTGGACACAACCCTGTCGGATTCAAACAAATTAGAATTCAAATGTAGTGATGTAGTCACTGATTACAGTATTGCACAAATGTAATGTATATAGAACATCAAATATTCAAACATGTTTGCAAAGAGAGAACAAGAATAAGTAGGTCTAAAAAAGTCAGGGTCAGGACAAATGAAAAAATACATTTCAGGAAAAGTGGTGAATCTTTGGAATGATTTAAAAATGTGTAACATTAAATGATTTCTTCAATATCTCATAATGCTTTGTGTACACGATAAGCGGTTAAAGCTGCAGTAGGTCATTTTATTAAAACTATTTGTCATATTTGCTGAAACTTTCACTATATCCTGAGAGTAGAACATGAGACAGATAATCTGTGAACAAAAATCTGGTTCCCCTGACACGTTCTTGTGCATTTGCTAGGTGTCCAGGGCGTCAAATACAGATGCTTTTGGACCCTGGGAATGGGACTCAACAATCCACTGTCCTAAAGCCTCCAACCAAAATGTCTTTTATATCTTTCTCTGCTCTGATTGGTAGTTTTCGTTCAGGCCCAGTGGATTCTTGCAAATACCATTAGGAGCTCTAGGAGGAACCTGAGGAACAAGATTTTTTCACAGATTATCTGTGAAAAAAAGATTTCTTTGATTGCTATTTTCAAATAGCAATCCTACTGAACTCCACTGGTTTTGTCACAAATTTCACATCTTTACAGTAGAGCTGCACTGTCTAGGCAATTCAGGGTCAACTGTTAAATGTATCGCCAACAAATTCTGATAATCGATAATTGAGTCATTTAGGAAGTCCAGTGTGTAGGATTTAGTGACATCCAGTGGTGTACGCCCCTCTTTTCAAGCACAAAGGATAAACTAGGGTGGCAAAAAACATGAATGATATATCTAGAGCCAGTGTTTGGTTTTTTCGTTCTGGGCTACTGTAGAAACATGGTGGTTCAATATGGCGGACTCCATGGAAAGTGACCTGCAGCGTCTTTAGATACAAAATGCTAATTCTAAGGTAACATAGACACACAGGTTCTTATTTTAAGGTGATTATACACTAATGAATATTGTATTCCATTTCAGCCAATATGTCCTCCTAAATGTTACACGCTGGACTTTTAAGATATGATTGAAAACTGGATAAAAGTAATCCGCGTTGAGTGAAAATTGTATTTTCTCTGACCTTTTACCATCTTTTGTCTTTGTAATAACTTACACTAACTCTGGTGAAGCATGGTTAATGTTGCTCTCTGCATGCAGTGCTCTGTCTTTAGACACCAATCTTATCTGTCCCTCAGGTACGAGAATGGCTCAGCCTACTTCCACGAGGATGACAGGGATGGCCTAGTCAAAGTGTGTCGGCTGGTAATTAATGCCCGTTATGAAGAATATGCCTCAGAGGGCTACGCAGTCCTCAGCTCCAAACAGCCAGTCATCTACCAGAGTGCTTCCGGCAGGCCTGGGCTGGGACAGCACCTGTGCAGCCAGGTAGGAAGGAAGACACTCACACACCTACTAATGATCTATCTATCACATACTAATGATAAAGATGAAACTCCCTATGTGTGAAAATGTCATGTGAATATTCCTCAAGTGAGAGCCAGTCCTATACTTCCACTGGGATATTAGAAACATTCAAATCCTCCACAAAGGGGCTTGAAAAACCTTTATTTGCCTGGAGGCAGGTAATGAATTTCAACAAAGATAAAAGGTAATTCTGGTATTTTTGAACATGGGCCCTATTTTTACATACTTTCTCTAGTGTAGTGTCTAAATCACTATTGAGTACAAAAAGTTTCAGAAATGATCGAGTAGATCCCGTCAGCCTGTAGCTGACATCATCAGAGCCGTTGATTAAAACTACTTAAAGGGACATTGTGTAGTGTTTTAAGTATTTTATTAGCTAGAATCAATGTCTTCATTCATAAATGTGTCCTCATTGGTGTAAAATTACCTCTGCCAATGATCTGACTTATCCTCGTAAGCGAAGAATTTCTTATCTGTATATACATTGGACGGGCAAGTCCATGGAGGCTTCCATGTTGTTCCGCCATTTTGAAAAACTATAATCGCCGATAGGGACATAAAGCACTCGCCTACCTGTCGAGCTAATAATGGAGGATCATACTTATGCCGAGCCACAGGAGAAGGAATCCTCGTCGCCAAAAAAGCCAAAAAGGGAATTAAAAAGGCAACGTGACCGGCAAATTCAAAAAACGAGGGTAAACATCGGGGTAGCTTTTCCCAGGTGGAAAGAGCTAATGAAGGAGAAAGACTTTCAGAGGGACGCTGAAATTGCCTGCTTCCTCCTCGACAGGTAGGCTTCTTGGTACATAACGGCTACCGTAGTTGCAATACACATTTGAAAACGCGAGGCACTAGAGAGCACTATGCGTTTGGATGCAAAATACAATTTCACCTCTAGATGGGAGAAATTCCTACACAATGTCCCTTTTAAAAAGACAAAGGACAAAGACAAAAGACAAAGGACGTCCCGGAGGGGCTGCGAGCCGAGCTGCTGCTAACGTTAGCTCAGCTTGTTTCTCTGATAACTTAAGATCCAGACGTCCAATGACTAAAATCCTTAAAAAGCACCAAGATCTAAACAGTAGATGGTAACAATGTGGCTTCAGACTGGATAAACAGTCAATGTATGACAGCTTCTGGCAGACAACCACAACGCTGACACAGGAACAAAGGGGATATGACGCCATTGACCACCAGTTACCTGAATAAAATGGGAAAAAAAATGAAATGACAAAATCCTGACAAAATCCTTTTGATGGGGTCATTTGTCCATGAAAGGATTACGTTGCATTATGTTGCATTTTGTGGCTGCCAACTGAGGCAGTCTGTTGGAACAATTCCAAAACCTTTTTTATACCAATTAGTCATTTAGACCCCAAAATACTTAAAAAATATCGGAATTGCCCTTTATGTATTTAAAAATATTCTTTTGGTAGCACTACTAGGCAGAATTGTAATATGTATATGGACACATAAAGTGTCTGACTGATATTACTATTCAGCATTACAGAGTCACACAGATTTAATTGTATTTTATCCAGTTGCATACACATTTGAAAGTGATTTTAATGTCAGTCTCTGTCTCATTAGCTCGGCTTGCCGCTCTCTAGTCTGTGCACAGTCCCATGCAACACCGTCTTTGGATCCCAACACCAAATGGTAGGAGAGTCCAAGTGAAAAACACTTTGAAAACACACTTCCAGATTGTTAAAAAGAATTTCTTTTGACTTATCTATCTTATTTCTTTTAACACGTATCCTGTTTGTCATTGTCAGGACGTCGCACTGTTGGACAAACTGATCAAAGAGGACAAAGAAGCTGGGAAGCTTCCTTTGCTGCTTATCGCCAACGCAGGTGAAGGAAAATAATAATCCGAACAACAACTCTTCACTATCTGTTACATTATGGGAATTACAAATAGTATTAATTTTTTTCTGCTATTGAAATTAGGTAATTTGAATGGGTTTTTTTCCCAGGTACCCCTGGGGCAGGACATACCGATAAGTTGGGTCGTCTGAAGGACCTTTGTGATCAGTACAGCATGTGGCTCCATCTGGAGGGGTGGGTTGATTCTATTACTCTGTACAGTATATGGTCTTAATGTATGCACCTCAAGGTTTTGTTTTGATAAACATGCAGTATCACCACTAGAATGTATTTCTTTAAATAAAAATGATGACTAGTATAGTATTGAAGCCCCAGTTCTGACTGTTGTAGTATTAACATTTATATGTTGTTGTGTTTTCATCTTTAGGGTCAACCTGGCAACCCTGGCACTGGGTCAGGCCACCTCTGCGATCATGGTAATCTCATGTTGACATATTCTCATCCACTTAGGGCTACTGCAGCACAAAGGTCAATATACAATACGCAGAGTGAGATTAAAGGTCCAGTGTGTAACATTGAGGAAGATCTATTGTCAGAAATGGAATATAATATTCATAGGTATGTTTTCATTAGTGTATAATCGCCTGAAAATAATAATAGATGTGTTTTCGCTATCTGAGAATGAGCCATTTTTATCTATAGCAAGCCCCCAGAAAGAGCGCCGGGCTTTGAAGCCAATCTCACTTAGTGGCCAAACTGTGTAATTATAGCAATGATGTCTGTCATGTGATGCACACTGGCCCAAAAAGACTTTTTCCCATAATACATACACATTTATACATTGTGAAAGAAGGAGCTGTAAATTGGTGGCTACATTTTTTTGAGCGTCATAACCCCCACGAAATGACTCGTTTCACTATCTGAATTTTATATATTTAGTCCAATAACATTTTGAAAGTCTAGAATAACTGTGTGATTACAGATAAAGGTATAATCACAAATGTGTAAAAACCTAGAACTGAGATATGAAAAAGACAAATACAGGCAAGCATGGTGAGTTTCCACTCTCCCTCACTGTGTTATTGTCTCACTTTGATCATATGAGCCAGACACCTAGGAAATGCCAGCTCATGTTTGACTTTCTCTTGTGACGTGTGTATCCATGTACATTATTCTTTCCCCTTCCAGGCTGCCAACAGAAGTGACAGTATGACACTGACACCAGGTCAGTGGCTGGGACTGCCTGCTGTAAGCGCCGTCACCCTCTACAGACACGAAGACCCAGCACTGGTAGGCTCATAACATTTCATACAAATTGATTCAACACAGAGCAATACATGTTTTTGTGCCATTTTTAGGTTGTCCTCTTGGTCACCCAATACTAGCTGAGGAAATAGCATTTTCTGCTTGCAGTCAAACAGATTGACTGAAGGTGATTTAAACTCTGCTTCAATAGCTGCTAGTTGATCTACCCACATTAAGATTGGTTCTTAATCTCATTAAGATTAATAGAATTCAGTTCAGCTCTCCATGTCCAAATGACTCACTGCTCTGTTTGTCTCAGTCTTTGGCAGCAGGTTTGACCTCCAGCCAGCCGGTGGCAAAGCTGCGAGCGTTGCCTCTCTGGCTCTCCCTGCAGTACCTCGGTCACAATGGAATTGTTCAGAAGATCAAACACGCCACCGTTCTGGTGAGCATCACTTAACTCCCGCCTTAACCACAAACTGTCATTTTTACTTTACTGTTTGCATACAGATTAAACAAAGGAGAGTGTGGTTATGTGCTGAAACTATTTCTTGGTAGTTCGCATGCAGCAACTGTGCTTATCTTCCTGGAGTCCCACACCGAGGTTGCTAGGTTTGAAACCGAAAACCAAACCAGAATGCTGGGTGGATGGATACACTATTATTGTTGTGCTTTATTGGCTGCACAGTTTCAACTGGTCTGTAGAAGGAAACAATGGCAGCTTGTGTGTTACATTGACTTACTGAGAATGACTAGGAAACTGTTGACTGAGCTAATAAATCATGTCAGAAGCAGGCTAATTTCTCCATAAGACTCAGCACGATCAGACTTCTTTTTTGCAGCCAGTGGATGTGCCCCCTGCTAGCCATTCAAAAGAATGCAGGTTTAAGACCCTTCAGCTTCATTTCACAGACCTGGAAGCTCTATCCACTAATTATATACTATCAATGGTTAAATATGTAAAATAATATATAAATAATTTCTTATTCTTTAATTCCTTTATCTCTCTCCTCTCTAGAGCCAGCAACTCCTGCAGAAGCTAAAGACTCTGGCCTCCATCAAAACATCAGTAAGTGTTCTCTTAATGTTCTGCCGTAAATGATAAAATAATGTCTACCACAATAAAAGGTGAACAGGCTGGCAGCCAGGTCAGAGTGTGTGAGCTTATTAAGACATAACAAGCATTGTTATTGTATGTGCAGTTTCCATTTTATAACTCACCACATGATATGCAAAAATATGTCATCATGCCTTGTTATCTAGCATTTTGCTAACAATAGCGAACTAACTTAAGATGTGGCTATATAGTTACTTTTACCCTTTACCCATGTTCAAAATGTGGTTGTCTTTTCAACATAGACAAGCCTAGCATGTAGCATATCTAAGTACAGGAAAGGAGAAAGTTGAGGTTCTGACTGAGGCTTGTGCAATTGTTATTAGAGTGCAGAGCAAAAAGGGGCATTACTTATTTGGCAGCTTAGGTCCTGTTTTATGTTTAATCAGAAATTTTGTACAATGATCAAAGCCTCTCCATGTATTCAGAAATAACACGTAGAGCGTGTAACACATGAATATATGACCTCCAGCTGTTCAAAGACAAAACCCATTTGTGTTTGTAGGATGTCCTTGAGACTGAGATCTCTCTCGCCGAGGCTTTGGTCATGGTAAAACCAGAGTTGTGTTCATACTGAAATGGTCTCAAGGGTGACCTAAAGGCTTGTTCACTGGCATTAATATAGTCACTGAGATGTAATGTGATGTGAAATTATCCCAGAAATGTGGCTGGGATATGGGATTGGTGGCGTTATACATTAACACTACTGTAATCCAGATGCAGTGAACAATCAAGGGATCGGATGGGGATCAGAATCATAACACAGTGGTACTCAAGCTAACAGTAGCATGGTAAAAGAACAATGCATTTCAGTTTTGTGACAGCCAGCTGCATTCACTGTGAAGAGGCTGTAGTTTGAGTACCACTCTGTGAATCAGATATGAATGTGTATGAGCTTGCAGGTCCATGTATGAGTCTTTTCTGTATGGCTATAGTTATAGTCAGTGTGGGTTGCCTTGGTTCCAGGGCGTGGTGTCGCCGATTCCGCCCATCTCCGGGGCTTCACTGCGGGACGTTCTGGGCTCTCTCATGCTCTCTATTGTAGGTGGGACCAAGCCTCTGCCTGTCTCCCTCACTCCCCCCTTCCCCTTCCCCTCTTTCCTCCCCTGTCTTCCTTTTCTTTCTTCCTGTCACTCCTGACCATTTTCCTTCACTCACATCAGCTCAGCAGTATTTGGGTCTCCATTGGCTGATGGACTGTTCACTTCTTCCTAATTGTTTAGGATGTGGACCACTCAGGCATGTTATTTGAGGTACTTCAGGGAATGCCTCTCCACACTCATTATGTTTTGTTGCCTTTGGAAGAAACACAAGGGTCATGAATAATTAATAAATGTGTCATGTGCTGTATCTGTATATCTTATTACTTCTTTTAGTTTAAAATCAAAACACTAGTTGGTGATGCCCCCTGTTAGGATGCTTTCCACAGCAGCAGAGTAGATCATTCAGGTGCTGAAAGAGAGACTTTGAATTTCTTGCTGTCTGAGGAGGTAAAGGCATTGCTTTGCCTTTTTTGCTAAGATGTCTTTGTGTGTCAGATTATCTGTGATGTGGACTCCCAAGTACCTGAAGGTGCTCACCCTCTCTACAAGAGTCCCATCAAGTCTCTGGGGTATGTAGTTCCTCTGCTGCTTCCTCCCAGAATCCACAACCAGCTCCTTGGTTTTGCTGGCATTCAGTAAGAGGTTGTAGGCCTGGCACCAGAGTGATAGCTATCCCACTTCTTCCAGGTGGCCTTCTCATCTCACTACTGTGTCATCAGCAGACACGACAATGGAGTTGGAGCTGTTTTGACCACATAGTCATGTGTACTCAGAGTACAGCAGGGGGCTGAGTGCACAACCTTGGGGGACACCTGTGTTGAGGATAAGAGGATTGGAAGTGTGACTGATCACCCTGACCTCCTGAGTTCTGGCAAGTCCAGGATCCATGCTCAGAGGGAGGTGTTTGGTGCCAGGTCCATCAGTCTGGTGGGGATTATAATACTGAAAGCTGAATTAAAGTTTATAAGCAGTCCATCCATAATGCTAAGATAAAATTTCAGGTTTTATGATGTTTCTTTGAATCCTGACCAATCTTCTGAACCACGGCCTGTATGTCTGATTTTTTTCAGTGATTCAAATAGATCTGTCCTGCTCATTGATGGCTGCGCCCAGATTGGAAAATGAACAGAGCCAATTAGAGCTTTGTTTGCAGGATGAATGGGATCTATGAAAAATAGTGACAGAAAAATGGGCAAAAAATTATAAATGACATCAGTGTAGCTTTAAAGGTTGTAAGTTAAGCTTTTACCATTATCATGAAAAAGTTTTCAAGACAAACAGTGAGCCTGGATTATTGCAAACAAAATAATGAAAGGACACTCCATAAGAGTTATGTAGACTATAGATTTTTATGATCCTTTAACAAATAAAGCAGAAGTCATCAAGACAATTTGGAACCAGTTCTCAGTTTCTTACCCCTAGTCAGGCCACCACTTTTGGCCAGAATTGTCTCAACAAATATTGCATGGATCGATGGATTGCAATTTGGTACAGACATATTCCTAACAGGATGAATTGTAATAACTTTGGTCATCCCCTGGCTTTTCATCTAGCGCATTCATAGGGACAAATTTTTATTCTTACCAGCACTGTTGGTTTGTTACCAAATATTAGTACACTAAACAACATGGTAAACATTATACCTGCATTACACCAACATTTTAATATTGTCATTGTAAGCATGTTAGCATGCAGACATTAGCATGTAGCTGATAGTGTGGTTACAGATCCTTGGTCTTGTTAAGATGCATTGTACAGTTCCTATACAGTTACCCTCTTTGACCATTTATCCATTTTTGATCCATATCTGTGGTGTGGTGGCAGCAGGGCAAGCAAAGCAGTCTGAATATATTTTTCTGTGGCTCTATTGGAATACACTATGTAGTCCCTCTAGCACTTTCTGGCTCTGCCTCCCACTCCAAGTTGTTGGTATTTTAGTCCAGCTATAATGACTCTCACTCATTTTCTGTTGTCGATGTAGTGAATAATGTGTGTATTTGTTTGGAATCCAGTGGACCAGGTCTGTGTCATCCATAGCAATTTTCTGTGTACTAGTTGTACGATAATAACTATTTAATGTTCGCCAGTATCTTGTCTCAGACTAACCTTGATTGTGCTGGGACTGTCTTGAATGTGGTGTGGTTAATAGTTTTTAAAAAGTGGTACTTTCCCTTACTTTCAACAACAAATGCTTGTTGTCACAGTGTTTGCTATGACTCTTATAGCACAGGTAGAGACTTTTCATCAGGTGATCTTTGTTTGCTCTTGCTTAACACATCTTTGTCTTATCTTCCTGCTTGGCTGGGAACATTATGATCTGCATGTATGGGTTGCTGGTGTGGACTCCTGGGTCCTGTCTGAGCCGAGGGGCCATGCCGCTTACCATAATTTGGACGTTTGTTGTCATATTGACCCCAACAAAAGGCTACACCCTGCTACACTTCTGGTGGCACCTGATTGGACAAACGCTTTGTGCTCCTGTTTGGGAACTTTCTCTTGTATTACGAAAATAGTTCACCAAAATGGAAAATTACTTTTCCTGTGGACGCGTACCATCAGTATGCTTTAAACAAACTAGGTCGCACAATGTGTAGGCTGTCCATGTCCAGTGTTTAAACCTGTTCTGAATGGCCACACTCAAAGGTGGGCCAAAAAGCATGCAGCGTAGAGAAGGGCAGAGTGTGGTAAATTGTTTAAAAGGTTATAACAATGTGTTGACCTTAATACTTACACCAAATCAGATGTTGTGGCGAGTCCTCCGATTCATTTGAATTTGGGTAATGTGTTTAGGCTGCGGTGGTGGGATGCTAAAAAAAATAACAAAGCAGCCCTGCAACAAAAAGTTGAAACAGAATCAACTTTTGTAGAAATGCATCCTGTCAGAGGAGAGGTGGTAGTGAGAAAACTAGTAAATAAGAAAAATAAAACAATATTTTCTGTGTAAACACGCCACCACCTCTGCATGCCAGAGGCGTAGCGTGAAGCATACCAACCTTCAGACCTGTCTTATATTGTGGGTAAAACATATCAGTTATTTTTCTGGTTTTCTATCTTGACAACACCACACATGCTTGTGAATTATTCATGACCCTCACATCAACACCCCAGAAACACTAGCCCTCATCTCAACCCCACCCAGGCATGATGCTTGCCCTAACCTTTCACCTGGATGTCATCAATGATGGGCTTCACTTTGGGTTTTATTTCCTGTCTAAGTGGTTTAGAAAATGAAGAAATGTACCATATGTAACTTAACTGAGATCAGTGTTTGCTGAATTTGATTTTGGTTAAACGGCAAAGCACAATTTGACATAAATAATGAGGTAATGCTAAACAGGAGACACCAACCCTCTGTGATATACTCAAAAACACAGATATGTCCAGGTACTGCCTGCTTCAATGACCTGGTTGCATGGTTCATAGACTTGCTTTTAAAATATTTTACAGTGATAATGGAGTAGTCAAAATGCCCAATGCCACATATTGTCTGCTAAACACTACATTTAAATAATGTATTTATTCTAAGTGTCTTTGGTTTGGCTGCTCCATACCACTAAGAGGCAAGGATTCGGGGCACCACTTCCATATAGACCAGTTTGACAAATCAAACAGGAACTGTATGTGGCATACAGTTACCACAGAAGTAACATGTAATAGCTTCAGTAGGCATGGAGACAAAGCAAAATATTTAATCCATGTTTACATTGCACCCTTTCAACTGATGATAATTGTTTCGCATGGCATACAGCAGATTACTTATTAAGTATGATAATAATGATGCTGCGTCTCAGATGCCTGATCTGTGTCTTTGTGTGTCCAACAGGTGGAGGATGAACTCAGTTCCCCTGTAGTGCTATTCAAGTTTTCCCAGGAAATGAGTGCTGGTAAGGGATGCACGCCCTACAAATATGACTGATCAAATTGTAATAAAGAGTCTTTGTCAATGAAGCTCCACTTACTAGGAGCTGTCAACCAAAGCTCATGGTCTTCATCAGCAATTGGAACTTGCTTAGTTGGCACCACATGAGCTAAGTGTGGAACTTCAGTCATGGGATAGCAGGTGGTTAGACACTGCCCGTCCAAAAAAAGTCACCACCTGGATTTAACTAAACAAATCGGTAAGAGCCTTCCATTAGATAATTACTGCATATGTTTCAGCTGGCAATAAGTTATTTAACCCTAGCTGATGCGGTGAGTAGCTTCTCATTTCTTAAACAACCATGTCGGAAGACATATCCTGTGGTCGTGGAAAGGATGTTAATCAGTTTCAGAAGGGTCAAATTATTGGCCTGCATCAAGCAAAGAAAACAACTAAGGAGATTGCTGAAACTACTAAAATCGGGTTAAACTGTCCAACGCATTATTAAAACCTGGAGGGATAATGGTGAACCATCATCTTTGAGGAAGCAATCATGATCGGAGATCACTTAAACGTTTGGTGAAATCATATCGTAAGAAATCAACAGTAGAACTCACGGCTATGTTTAATAGTGGAAGTAAGAGCATTTCCAAACACAATGCGAAGGGAACTTAAGGGATTGGGACTAAACAGCTGTGTAGCCATAAGAAAACCACTAATCAGTGAGGCTTATCGGGAAAAAAGGCTTCAGTTTGCTAGGGAGCATAAAGACTGGACTTTGGAGCAATGGAAGAAGGTCATGTGGTCTGATGAATCCAGATTTACCCTGTTCCAGAGTGATGGGCGTAAGGGGTAAGAAGAGAGGCGGATGAAGTGATGCACCCATCATGCCTAGTGCCTACCGTACAAGCCTGTGGGGGCAGTGTTATGATCTGGGGTTGCTGCAGTTGGTCAGGTCAAGGGTGAGGTCAGCTGACTACCTGAATATACTAAATGACCAAGTCTTTCCATCAATGGAGTTTTTCTTCCCTAATGGCACGGGCATATTCCAAGATGACAATGACAGGATTCATCGGGCTCACATTGTGAATGAGTGGTTCAGGGAGGATGAGACATCCTTTTCACACATGGGTTGGCCACCACAGAGTCCAGACCTCAGCCCCATTGAAAGTCTTTGGGATATGCTTGAGAAGACTTGGCACAGCGGGACGACTCTCCCATCATCAATACAAGATCTTGGTGGAAGATTAATGCAACTCTGGACGGAAATAAATGTTGTGACATTGCAGAAGCTTATTGAAATGATGCCCCAGCGAATGCGTGCCGTACTCAAAGCTAAAGGCGGTCCAATGAAATATTAGAGTGTACGACTTTGTTTTGGACGGGCAGTGTATATGGGAGGCGATAACCACTGTGAGTTGGTTACACATACTGTTCCCAAACGTCAATGAAATTCATTCAATCCATGTTAAAAAAGGATTTGAATGAAGTTGAGGAAACATTGAGATGATACCAGGATGAAAATGTCACAGTGTATACACAAACATCTCAGTATATTGTATTCTTACTGAAGTTACCATTTACATTTTTCCTATGTTGTTAGCATCCAGTGGGGGTTCAGTGGAAGGTTACTGTGCTGGGGAGAAAGAGGTGCTTGACACCTTCAACAGATGGGTGAGTGTTTTCCCTCCTTCAACATGTACAGTACGTTGTGTTTTGTGGTAGTTAAATGGTTAGTTTGGATTTTATGAAGTGGGGTTGTATGAGATACTTATCCGTAGTCAGTAGATGGCAGTTGGCACGGTCCCAGTTTGGAGAAGCAGACAGGAGTACCAGCATTAAAGATAAGCAATGGGCTGCTGTGGACAGGGGCAGCAACAAAACATATTTTAGCAACCTCCTTCTCGATTATGTATTAATATATATGAAAATGAATTGTGATTGATAGTCTGAATCAAGGCTGTCTGGCTGGAAAGATCTGTCAGCTCTTTCTATGATGCCAGACACAGTTCATGTGCTTAAATGTAATATCATGAAACTTCATGCATAGTGTACATACATGTGCTGATACTATTTACAATATTACCGCACTTATTTCTGCATTGGGTTTGGATGGAAATTCAGGTTTAAACTAGGCTTTTTTTTATCAGGTTTTTGATACTTGCAACTTGCAAGTATCAAAAACTGAACCTTTTTCCACAAAATAAAACCCTAAACTCTCAACTTGTCCGACCACACAGTTTGATGCATTCCTTTAAAATGTTTCCTGGGTGTAGTTGGGTGAACAGCTGCTCCAGCTGGTTCCCGCTAGTGGAATGGATGTGGTGGAGCTTGAAGACGAGGGTACATGTGTTCGCTTCAGTCCCCTCCTGACTGCTGCAGGTAATCTGAACACACAAACACAACATTCTGCTAGATATATTTTTCATTTGTTAAATTCTACCAGCAAGGGTTAAAACATGACCAGGAAACAGCAACAACCATGACTTTCTCCCTCCCATCCAGTTCTGGGGACCCAGCAGGGGGATGTTGAGGACCTGGTGGAGAAGCTGTCAGAGCTGGTGCCTGTGATGAGCTCCACAATGTGCCTCAGACAGGACTTCAGAGAGGAAACCCACCGACACTCACCGTCGCTCATATACGTAGAAGAGCTCAGCTGGCCTGGCTTGGGTGCTGTCCGGTAAGAATGGCCAGGCTTTAACAGGGGTTTCCAACCTTTCTGAGAGTGAGAACATCCATGTTAAATTGATGCTTTCAATAGAACATAGCAGTGTGTATTTTCACCTTCATTTTTATATACAGGGTTGGACCAGTTTCATTTGGAATTGTGGTTGTGGACGTTATTTTTTCTCTGGTGGTGGTATTAACACTGGAATCTACTGATATAAACAGAGTCAATTTACTTCTCTCGCCTAATCAAGGTAAACCAATAAACTGATCGATCATGAAAATGTAAAAGTGCAACTCAGACAAAGTAGGCAAGGGTTTAGGCCAGTGGTTCCCATTTTTGTTTCGGGACTACTAGGTGCCACTAGGAGTCACCAAAGCTTCACAGGGGTTCATGAGGCGTGTAAGAATACTTTAAAAAATATAAACAGTAGGCCTTTATCTCAACATTTCAAACACTGACAACAAGTATTAGATTAAGTAGTGATTGTTAAAAAAAAAAAAAAAAAAATACAGAATTCTATTGTATTGTAGGAAAACTCATCTTCAATCAACATTCACAGAAAATGTATTTATTATAATAAAAACAATATAATAATAAAATGAAAATAATGTTGGTTCATCAGTTGTTCTGTAAAATATCCATAAAATAAGTCACTTAGTCAGGGATCTTCAGGTTACTCAGTAATAGAAAAGGGGTCCCTTAAGGAAAAACCTGGGGAACCACTGGTTTAGGCCACCATATGTCCACCGGTGGATTCTTGCAAATGCCATTAGAAGCACTAGGAGGAGCCAGAAGAACCTGATTTTTTCACAGAGTATCTGTCTCGTGTACTACTGTCAGGATATAGTGAAAGTTTCAGCAAATATGACAAAAAGTTATTTTTATAAAAGTTACCGTCTGCAGCTTTAACTTTTTTTGGGTACGACCTACAGTACTCCAAAGTACCCATATGTGTAAAAGTACCCCTATTTGAGAAACATTGTACTATTCTATTTAATAACATATAAAAACCAGAGGCGGCATGAATTGTAAGTATACTTGCTGTCCTTTTAACAGTGTTGGGATTTGTCATGAAAGGGTTAGCTCAGTAAGATAAGATAAGATAAGATATTCCTTTATTGATCCCCCTTAGGAGAAATTCAGGTTGACACAGCAGCAATAGGGCAACGTAGTGCAAAACAGAGAACAAAGAATATCACAAATAAAAATATTACAAAATACAAAATATAATAGAAGATATAAAACTATAAATGAAAGTATATACACTATGCATTGCGAGTGCAAAATATGAGCAGAAAATTAAACTAAGACTAAAACTAAACTGTACAAGTGGAAATTAAATATAAATAGTGCAAAAGGTTTGTGCGTTGTAGGTAGGAGTTTTAAACCAGTCTTTGTCTGCCGGGGTTGGAGGTACTGGGTGCTGTGACGTTGTGGAGTCTGATGGCTGATGGTACAAATGTGCCTCCAAACCGCTTTGAGGCTCGGGGCTGGGTCAGTCTGTGGCTGAAAGTGCTCCTGAGCTGCCTCAGCTCAGTGTAGAGAGGATGAGAGGGGTTGTCTATGATGGCTTTCAGTTTCCCTTTCATCCTCTTTTCAGTCACAGCCTCCACACTGTCCAGCTCCATCCACCACCACCGAGCTGGCCTTCCTCACCAGCTTGCTAAGCTTGTTGGGACCCCCAGTGCCGATGCCTCCCCCCCAACAGACCACCGCAAAGAAGAGGACACTGGCCACTACGGACTGGTAGAACATCTGTAGTAGCCGAGCCTCCTCAGAAAGAACAGCCTGCTCTGTCCTTTCCTGTAGAGGGCCTCAGTGTGATCCGTCCAGTCCAGTTTATTGTTGAGTGTCACCCCCAGGAACTTGTAGGTGTCCACCATCTCTACCTTCTCCCCCCTAATCGCAACTGGGGAGGGGGTCCTCTTGCTCCGCCGGAAGTCCACCACAAGCTCTTTGGTTTTCCCTGTGTTGAGCTGTAGGTGGTTCCTGTCACACCGTCCAATGAAGTTCTCAATCAGATCTCTGTACTCCTCCTCCCTATCATCTGAGATACAGCCGACAATGGAGGAGTCTTCAGAGAACTTCTGTAGGTGGCACGCTCCAGAGTTGAAGCAGAAGTCAGAGGTGTAGAGGGTGAACAGGAACGGTGATAGTACAGTTCCTTGGGGTGTACCAGTGCTGCTCGTCACCACGTCTGACAACGGCTGTGCAGTCTGACATACTGTGGTCTGTCAGTGAGGTAGTCAGTGATCCAGGCCACGAGGTCCTGATCTACCTACATCACAGAGAGCTTCTCTGCCAGCCGGAGAGGCTGGATGGTGTCGAAGGTACTGGAAAAGTCGAAGAACATGATCCTCACGGTGCTCTGTGACTTCTCCAGGTGGGTGTAAGCTCTGTGAAGCAGGTAGATGATGGCATCATCCACGCCGATGTCGGCCTGGTACGCAAACTGCAGAGGGTCCAGGCAGTCGCTTACCAGGGGTCTGAGGTGCTGCAGAACCAGTCTCTCAAAGGTCTTCATAACATGTGACGTTAAAGCTACAGGCCTGAAGTCTTTGAGAGCGCTGGGTCTTCCTTTTTTGGGAACAGGAACTAAGCAGAAAGTATCTCAGTAGGATTCTAACACAGGACTATGTTGGATGTTTTCAGGTACGAACCTCAGGCTGAAGGAATCGATGAGAGCAGGAGGAAGCAGGAGCTGGAGAAAATCAACACTGAGCTGCTGAAGAAACTACAAGAGCTTGACACTGACATCATCTTCTCCACTGGTTAGTACCTCTTCACCTCTGAGAGGCCTGTGACAAATGAAACTCACACTATTTATCTTAACACAGTTTTTTTTGTCTCTCCTCTCTCCCCAGGCCCTGAGTTTGGAACACAAGAGAACTGTATCTTTGTTGGCATGGTGACTGAGGACGTTGATGTTTCAGAGCTGGTGAATACAATAGCTACCCTCGGGAGGGACATAGAGGAGAGTGGAAGGGTAAGTGCTATATTCATTTCATAGGATACTTGAAGGTGGTTAGACAGTCACAAAAAGTGTTAAGAAAGATGAAATGAAATAGTGAACACAATAACAGCAGGAAGTTTGTGGAAAATGAGAAATTATGAGACGAGTTCACCTGATATTTTTAGGAACTTTTTATACAATTTTATGTATTGTATTTCCTTTTTTTTACATTAACAATCAGACATACTTCATAGGCTCCTTAGTTTCCTTACACACCTTAAAATCAAGAAGGCCTTGTGACCCTCCTTGCAGCTTTAGCCATAGGAACCATTATTCTAATTGATAAATGTCAGCTTTTATTGTTAACTGTATCAATGAAGAATGATGATAATGATAACACCATTACAGGAAGAAATCAATCACAGAGAATGAATTAACCATCATACATTGTAGATTGTTCATGTATCAAAATATCTCCTTTAAATTATGTCCCTGGTTGTTAAAATGGAATTACAATTCAGCTCTGATTGTTACCATTGACTGTATATAAAGATGGATAACATGACTGCTCCCAAAATTGAAGACAGCTCAGTAATGCTAAACTTCACAATGGTACTCCACAAACCAATGGGATAGGCTCTAACTTGAGCTTTTAATTAGTTATTTGAAGCTATAAAAAGGGTTTTTCCCATCATAATTGAATAATTGATAAGCTCATCATAATTGAAAGCTGAGCCTGGCTTGCGATTGAGTCAGCCAGGTGTATGACTGGTTCCTCGATACCGCAGAGCCAACCCTGATGACTACTATGCAGACCCTGGCTCCAAATGATGTTACCAGTGCAAGATGGCAGCAGCTGAGGAAGAGGAGACATTTGGTCCATTTTTATATACAGTCTATGATTGTTACACAGGGATTTTTGTTGAGTATAAATATAAATCATTAATTACATTTTCTTTCCTGTGCAGCTTTTGGAGAACATGACAGAGGTGGTGAGGAAAGGCATCCTGGAGGCAGAGCTGCAGCTGCAAAAGGCCAATGAGGAGAAACTCATGGAAGAGGTGTGTGTGTGTGTGTGTGTGTGTGTGTGTGTGTGTGTGTGTGTGTGTGTGTGTGTGTGTGTGTGTGTGTGTGTGTTTTGTTAGAATTCATTTTGAATTTATAGTGTGATGATGATGACATGATGAAGGTCAACTTGCATTTAGGATCAGGGTTCTGGTTTAGAATTAGATAACGGATAAGATTAAGTTTAGGGTAAGTATGAAGTTAGAGAAGAGATGAAGTAAATGTTAACCTGCTCTCTGGCTTTATTGATTGTGTTTTATAAGGTTTACATGTTAGTATAGAAATCTATTCCATTCACGTTTTTTGTCTCTGTCTGTTTTAGGGAGTGATGAGACAGCTTCCTCTGGTTGGCTCTGTGTTAAACTGGTTCTCTCCAGTTCAAAGCTCCATAAAGGGCAGGACCTTCAACCTGGCTGCAGGTACAGTGCTATGTGTCACTGTTAATATTAAAGAATTCTGAAAATGTGAGGAGGAAAAGAATGAATTCATAAGGAAAAGGACTCTGAGAGGTATGAGCACCAGGGCTTGTGATAGAGGAGACTGTGAGATTCCCCACAGGCGCACCACGTATGGGAGGAACGTGTTGTCTGTTGTGGGGGGGACATTTGGAATAGTCTTCCCTCCACAATAAGGGAATGCCCCACATACTCTTCTTTTAAAGGACAACTAAGACAATGGCTCAAATCAAACCAAAAGTGCGACCACTAACTGCATTATATCCTGTCTGGGTCTGGTGTCCCTCTGATTGTGTAATGTATTGTGCTGTGTGTGTTGTCTCTTCTATTTCTATTTTATCTATTTATTTGCTGTCTCTTCTATTTCTTTTTTTTCTATTTATTTATTAGGGACTACGAATGCAAATTAGCAGCTTTGCTATAATCCAGCATGTTTACGGAGATGTTTAAATATCGATGTTCATTAATGTGCACTGTCCCTATCCAAAAATAAAGCATTTATTATTATTATTATTATTATTCTACTACTATGATTATTATTTAGGATATCTAGCATTTGAACCAGGAAATTTAGAGACTTGTTTCCCAGCCATGGAAACACCTAGAAATTGATTAAAATGACCAAATAATAAGGTAATAATGAGCCAGCATCAGTAATCAATACATACATTACTAAACCATTAATCAAACTAATAACTAACAGCAGTCAATGTCAGACAACTTTAAAGCTGCAGTAGGTAACTTTTATAAAAATAACCAGATATTAACGCTGGAAACAAGACTCAACAATCAACTATCTTTAAGCCAGTTACCTAGTGTCTGTAGTGGTGACAAAAATTATACATATTAGCAGTTTGAATTCAACTAAAAGCTCCATGTGCCAAACTCCCTTTTAGAAACATCACATTTTAACAATTCCTCAGAAAATTCTGGCCCTTGGACACATGTAGTTTATGACCTCTGATCTAGTGTAGTGGGACCATGCCACTCGGAAGTCAATAGTCTAATGTAACCTTTCAACCCAGTAATGAACTTGGAAGTGCAACAGAAGCAAAGGGGAGCTTTGGGGTAGTCCAGAATGCAAGGTCCAATGTCACATGAATACCACTGTAGTTTTCCAAACTTCACCCAACTTCACTGCTCTGTCTTTGTCTTCTTTTGTAAATGTCACAAAACATCAGCAGTTGTTCAGATACATTTTTAAAATATGAACATGATGTAAAAGATACCACCTTTTAAAACATACTGAACATAGATAAATGTTCATTGTCATTTAGTTTGATATGTGTTGCTACATACAGTACAGAGCAGTAACCCTAGCACTGTGCTGGGGAGCTGATTGGCTCTCATGTAAAGTCCACATGAAAGTATGTAAATGTCTGTCAGTATTTGTGTGTAACATACATATAAATGTTAATGGTGTGTGTCCACAGGTTCCCTGGACTCCACAGAGGTGACTTACTCCACCAAGGCCCAAACAGGCAGGCCGTCCCTGCAAGACACTCCCACCTCCTCATCAAAGAGACTGCCAGGTGAGACTACAGTCAACACTCAAATAAAAGCACACTGTGAAATTACCTGTACTCTAATACTGCCCTACAAAGGCTAACCGCAGTAACTACGCCAACAATGAAACTGAGAAAATTGCTTCAAAGTTTTTTATTATCCAGCCAAATGTGTTATAGCTAGAACAGCAGTTATGTGCTTATTAAATACAGTCCTGCTCACCATTATTGGCACCCATGAAGTTTAAGTACATAATGTGGAATATCTTCTGAAAAAAATGAATCAAGTGAAACATTTCTGTTCTATAGAGAACTCGTGTTTGATACAAAAGAGCAAATGATAAACAACAATTTAAAACAATAAACAATGGGAGGAAAAAATAGAAAAAACTTAAAGCTTGCTGTGTCACTGGTATTGGCACCCTTTGCTGTAAATCAGTATGGAAACACATTGTGACTCACCTGTGGTAAATCACAAATGAGAATCACCTGTGATAAATTGTCTGTGCCCATGTGACATGAATTAGCCAATGAATGATGACTTCCGTGTTTTAAAAAGCCATCTGTTATCCCCTGTTCCTTTGTCACAATGGTGAAGACAAAGGAGCTGTTTGAGGACATCAGAAGTGCGATAATTAGCAAACACAAGACCTCCAAAGGGTATAAGGCCATCTCCAAAGACCTTGGTATCCCTGTTTCAACAGTGCGTAATGTTATTAAGAAGTTTGCCAAGCATGAAACTGTCAAGCGATGAGTCCTGATCTCAATCCGATTGAAAATCTTTGGTATGAGCTGAAATCTGCCATTGGGTAAAAGAAACCTGAAAAGAGTGGGAGAAAACACCAGCTGAGAGGTGCAAGAAGCTTATAGATGGCTACAAGAAACGTTTGGAGGCTGTCGTCACTGCCAACGGGTGTGCAACCAAACATTAAAGAGGGGTGCCATTATTGCTGCACATGCTGTTTTTTCTGTTTCTTCTTTGAAATTACAATATATAAGTTATTACTACTATGATTATTATTTAGGATATCTAGCATTTGAACCAGGAAATTTAGTGACTTGTTTCCCAGCCATGGAAACACCTAGAAATTGATTAAAATGACCAAATAATAAGGTAATAATGAGCCAGCATCAGTAATCAATACATACATTACTAAACCATTAATCAAACTAATAACTAACAGCAGTCAATGTCAGACAACTTTAAAGCTGCAGTAGGTAACTTTTATAAAAATAACCAGATATTAACGCTGGAAACAAGACTCAACAATCAACTATCTTTAAGCCAGTTACCTAGTGTCTGTAGTGGTGACAAAAATTATACATATTAGCAGTTTGAATTCAGCTAAAAGCTCCATGTGCCAAACTCCCTTTTAGAAACATCACATTTTAACAATTCCTCAGAAAATTCTGGCCCTTGGACACATGTAGTTGATGACCTCTGATCTAGTGTAGTGGGACCATGCCACTCTGAAGTCAATAGTCTAATGTAACCTTTCAACCCAGTAATGAACTTGGAAGTGCAACAGAAGCAAAGGGGAGCTTTGGGGTAGTCCAGAATGCAAGGTCCAATGTCACATGAATACCACTGTAGTTTTCCAAACTTCACCCAACTTCACTGCTCTGCCTTTGTCTTCTTTTGTAAATGTCACAAAACATCAGCAGTTGTTCAGATACATTTTTAAAATATGAACATGATGTAAAAGATACCACCTTTTAAAACATACTGAACATAGATAAATGTTCATTGTCATTTAGTTTGATATGTGTTGCTACATACAGTACAGAGCAGTAATGTCATATTGCTATGAATTCTGTTCAGATTTGTGATACATTTGGATGAAAACACTGCTAGTGACACTCACAGAATTCTGGGTATTTGTGGGAAACAACATCCCATACCTTATGCATTTCCTGTCCTGCATTTTCCTCATAGGTCAGAGGTTATTCCAGCGCTCAGGGGGGGCAGGCTTTGACTCCTTCAGTGAAACCAGTTCCATCGGACAAGCCGAGGAGAGCGCCGGGGAGGGGAGCACCACTTTGAGCAGCAGCTTCCGCCCACCCACCCCTCCACCCGCACCCGAGGAGAACTCACAGCCCGCGAGTGACGTCATACAAGAGAAAGTCCCAGAGTCCTCTGTGCAGGTGAATGCGCAGGTGGAGGCTGAAGTGGAGACTGAAGAGGAGAGGCAGCCTGAAGGCCAAGAGGTGGAGCAGAGCGAGAGATAGGATGACTCTTTCTGCAGGTGTCCTCCAACCGTCCTTTAAATGGTACCAGCCTAACTAACAGATGTTTAAAAACAAAGGTGTTATTACATTGTGAATCTTACTCTTCCAGTTTTGAAGGGAAAGCTGATGGAGATTGGGCTGTTTCCGTCCCATTGTTTCAGGACAGCAAGAAAATCCACCCTGGCTACTCTTATACTGTCATGCTCAGTTCTCTGCATTCTAGTTATTTACTGATTAAAGCTGCAGTAGGTAACCTTTTAAAAAAAAAAAAACGTTTTGTCATATTTGCTGAAACTTTCACTATATCCTGACAGTAGAACATGAGACAGATAATCTGTTAAAAAAATCAGGTTCCTCTGGCTCCTCCTAGTGCTCCTAATGGTATTTGCAAGAATTCACCAGGCCTGAATGAAAACAACCAATCAAAGCCGGGAAAAGGATAAACACGCTTTGGGTTGGAGGCTTGAAGATAGTTGATTGTTGAGTCTCATTCCCAGAGTCCCAAAGCGTCTGTATTTGGCATCCAGGGAATGAGACTTAACAATCAACCATCTTTCTTCTTTATGATTGGTTGTTTTCGTCCAGGCCCGGTGGATTCTTCCAAATGCCATTAGGAGCACTAGGAGGAGCCAGAGGAACCTGTTTTTTTCACAGATTATCTGTCTCAGGTTCTACTGCCAGGATATAGTGAAAGTTTCAGCAAATCTGACAATAAATATTTTTTATAAAAGTTACCTACTGCAGCTTTAGGTGTTCTAATATGATATTTCTTTAATGTTGATGCAGCATTCTGAGAACCATTTATGCCTGTTATTAAAATGCAGTCTGCATCCAGACACGTTAAAAAAACACATTACTTACTGCAAGGTGTAAATGTGTCGTGATCAGATCTGCCTGACCACATCTGGAGGTAGTCTGGCTCACATTGTGGGCTGATCTTGCATTAATGCAATCCATACAACGTGCTGGTGCCCTTCCACAATGTAACTCATATAGATATTAGTCAGCATAAAGCACATTTATTGGTATTCATTTGGTAACATACAGCTAACGTAATGATAATAAAATAATGATTGAGGTTTGCTCAACTGTTACTGGAGCACAGAGCAAAAAGGCGGGTGAAATATGGGAATTTAATGTAGTCAGTTGGACAAAGTTTCCCGGAACTCAACAACTCACAAAAAAAATGAAGGGTGTTTGGGGCAGAGATCTGATCTCAGTGAGGATAACGCTTTAAAAACAGCAGGTGTGAGGCACCAAGGAAAGATTGGATCATGTATTATTCGAATAACAAGTGGCATTTTAATAGCAGGCTTAAATGTGTTGTGAGAAATGTTCAGAATGCCTTTTAACCACTTAAAAAAGACGAGAACTGGATATACAGTTCCTGCCTCTTTTGCCCTGAATGTCCCCCTGTAGGAACACTGTTCTGCTGTCAGACTGCTTCATAGCTGCACTCGAAATCTCTTGTGTCATCGCTGATTGGCTGTGCTGTCACACAGGACATAACAAAAATACACTAAACAGCAGAAGAGGTGTTTTAGGGTGGATTTTTTCCTCGGAAGGTTGGATGGAATAGTTGACATCCATCCTTTTTATACTAAAGTCTGTCACTTGATGACTTTGGGGTGTCCTGTTGGATTATAGAGCAGAGAAGTGGCCATATTGCACACAGAATTCCTTTAGCTTTAAAGAGAAATACATTTATGATTGGTTCAGGAGTCTCCATTCACTTCAAATAAATCAGCTCACTATTAACTGCAGTTAAAAGGTTTAGATTCCTCACTGTAAATAGTCTACACAGATGATATATATCTAACCCACCCAATTACTAACTAGAATTATTTATAATGAAATAAATCTGTATAGAAGAAGTAGAGTACCATAATCTATTTAATGAAAAAAATGCCTACTGAACATACAAGCTTAAAACACTCCCTTAATTAATGTGCACTTCCCCACAATCACTGCTGGGGGAAAAATACATCAGGACATCTGAAAGATTTTGGGTTGTTTTGAGTAAAAAGTCACAATATTACAAGAGTAAAGCAGTTGTTATTACAAAAATAAAAGCATAATTTTACATTAAGAAGTTAATAATTATTTGAGATAAAGCTGGAATTCTAGTCATGAAGAAAAATCACGCTATTACAAGATAAAACTTTAACTGTACAAAAGGAAGTGACTATAGGAATAAAGTTCAAGATAAAGTTGTAATTTTACAAGACAAGTTATGTTACAAGAAAAATAACAAGATAAAGAGGTACTGTTACAAGAACAAGTCGTGATATTATCTCATAACATTACAAATTCAACTTTTTCTTGTAAGATTACAACTTGACCTTTCTCGTACAAATTCTGACCTTATGTTGTGACTTTTATTTTTCCAAATATTATGGCTTTATTCTCAAATGTCAGAAGTTATTTCAAACCAGGGGCCCTAATACTCCATTGTATAAAATAAACTCCAGCCACAGCTTTGTGACTCTAACTCATATTTACTTTATGATTGCACATGCAGTGGGGGCCAGAGTTTTGAATTTCTATATGAATTTGTTTTTATTTTTGTCAGGAATGCAAGCTGAGCAAAACGTGGCCTTCTGTCACAGAGGATGTATGAGGAATATTTCCTTTCTTTGAAAAAAACATCCTGCCAGACCTGGATTCAAAGTACTTCCTGTCCTGGTTACCCTTATCCTAGTGCCATATTACAAGGCCAAATAGATGTTTGTGTTTGTTTGTTTGTTTGTTTGTTTTTTGTTTGCTTATTTGTCCTTTGGTCTGTTTGTTCTGAGTTGATTCTGCCAGGCTTGGATATTCAACCCAACACTTGTCCTTATCCCCTTGATGTATTTTGCTATAAATAATCAGCAATAGCATAAGCTAAGGATTATTTTGATGTGTTTATTAACTTTTCTTTAAAGGTTATATATATGAAATTCACTTGCCACTAGATGTCACTCTAGAGCACCAGCGTCTGTGACCCAAACAAAAACAGCACTATGGCTGACCAGACTCCATTGACAAAAGCAGTACCTAGCAGATAATCGTAATACACTTCAAACTGGACAGAAACAAAGTTAAACTCACCAAAACTGTCTTTTGTTAGTCTTTCCACTGTTCCAACAATCACCAATTCTGGTTTTGTTTGTCTTAATTCACCAACTCTCCTAAAAGCCAGCAGGTTCACACGGAGGGACACACATGCAGTTCAAAGGATCTGCTGTATTAACACAATTACTCCACTATATCTTTAAATAGCAAATAGTTGTTTGCTGCTATATTAATGTTCTAAATCTCATATATATCACTTTTAAAGGATTTCTGGGGATAGAAGGTCACAAAGTTCAAACAGTGTACCACACTGGAACAATACCACAGACATGTTTAGGGTAGATCCTAAAGGTCTTTACTCTGTTTGGTTGGAGTCATCCCAGATGGAAGTTAGTCAATGATGAGGGAAATGTGGTGAAATCTGTGGTTGTCAATCCAAACTATGGTCTAGATTTCACTGAGACACACAAGGTCAGGTCAGAAATTTTGGAACAAATTCTCACAGTGTGACTGCTGCCACCACCAACCACAGTTACAAACCAACCAATCAGAATATAACATGAAATGACACAGAAAACACTGTCTGACATGACACTGAACTGCCCATAGACATGCCCTTTAAAACTGATATGGTACAGTGAAGGAGTAAGAAAATATTTAAAAATAGCGCAAAATTTTGTTTTGTGATATTGTATTGATTTGATTTTTGTGTTTAAACCCCCGACTGCTAGAAAACAGTGTTGTAATGAAAACTGAGGGCTATGATGTTGGATGTTAAATGATAAATACAAATGCAGATCCCACTGTCCTCCCAAATTAGATTTGTCTTTAATCACAATGGAAGTTTGTCATGAATGCACACTTAATATGAAACTGTGATGGGAACCTCTCTAAAAATGCAAACATCTTTCGCCTGATATTCAGCATTTTGATGCAACTTTACACAACTTGATTAACGGGAATTCTCATTGTTTTATATGACTTTTGGAAGTGAATGGGATTGAATGAGCCTCGGTAGGTTTTGCTCCCATGGACGTGCCTCAATGTAAAAACAAATTTGGCCATTGCCGTCCTTTAGTACTTGAGCCAGGTACTGGTTGAACATTTACTGTAAAGAGTTGTAAAATGTGGATTAAATGTGGTGGTTATGATAAGGAATGAAGATTACAAAGGAATCTATTTGAGCTTTATTGCACTTGTTCTGTAGATAATGTCTTTACTACTGTTCTTTATTTAATTATTATATTGTGTAAATGAAGGGGAATCTTCTTGATGATTATTATGTTCTGTTCTGTTATTATAATGTCAAGCGAAATCAATAACTTTATAACCTTACAAGAACATGTTTTGATGAAGAGCTTTTGATTTGATATAAGGAAATGTCCTGGACTGTCCTGCCTCTGTCACTGTCTGAATGATGATTGTATTTAATCAGCAGAATCTTTTCTCTTGAATGTTTTCTACCATTAGTTTACAGTACAGAAACACTGACATATTTTGTGTCATTTTGTGTCTCTCAACAGATTAAATTCAACATTTTTATAGTCTTAATGTTCAGTTCTAATTCCAAAAGTACCTCTCCATCTGATATTTAGTCTTCCTCTATACTGTTGGGAGTTTGTGGTTCTGTTTTTCAGTATATGTTCTTAAAGCTGCAGTAGGTAATTTTTATGAAAAATAACCTTTGTTATATTTGCTGAAACTTTCAGTATATCTTGACAGTAGTATATAAAACAGGTAATCTGTGAAACAATCAGGTTCCTCTGGCTCCTCCTGGTGCTCCTAATGGCATTTGCAATAATCCACTGGATGAAAACAACCAATCAGAGCCAACAAAAGATAGTCGATTATTTAGTCTCATTCCCAGGTTGTCATATACCAACACTTTGGGTTGGTGGTTTGAAGAAAGTTTATTGTTGAGTCTCATTCCCAGGGTCCCAAAGTGTCTGTGTTTTATGACCTGGGAATGAGACTCAACAATCAACTATCTCAGGAGCCAGAGGAACCTGATTGTTTCACAGATTATCTGTCTCATGTTCTACTGTCAGGATATAGTGAAAGTTTCAGCACATATGACAAAAAGTTATTTTTATGTACTGTGGCTTTAAGTACATTTGTAATTGTATTTGAGCCCTAGATGTCTGACAGAGCAATAAATGAAAGCCAATGGGGAAAACATGGTCAGGCATTGATAAATAAAAGCACATTTACAGACAAAATGAAAATCACAATGTGGAAAAGTACATGTAGTATGTATGAATGTGTTATAAGACAGAATTTCACAAGTAAAGGGGTATTACTACAGTATATCTAATGTAGCTACAAACAGACCCAAATAAGTTGGTGGTATAATCTGTAGAAATTTCATCTGTCCTTAAACTAAAAAAATTGTAGCAGTGAATGAAACTGAAATGCTGGACTGAAACTAAATCTGTATGTCAGCAACCTGCTTTCAGACTTTTGTGCAATCTGAGGCATGACAACAAACACAAAATAAGACAAAACAGCGGTACCAAAGCAAATAAAAATGTATGAAAAATACTACTGATTACTGATAAGTGTGGACTTAAGTCACGTGACTTGGACTCGAGGCAAAATTGACCCTTCCTAAGCTTCACCCCTTTTTGCTCTGTGCTCCAGAAACAGTTGAGCAAACCTCAGGCAACGCTTTCCTTTCCTGTACTTAGATATGCTATGTGCTGTGCTAGTCTATGTTGAAAAGACAAGTTAAAAGATAAAAGGGACATACATAGTCACATCTTAAGGAAACTAATGTTAACAAATCCCTTGCTTATTCGCTAGATCATTTACATCAATTGTTGGCTAGCCACTTACAATTCTAAGCTCATGTTAGAAACATGCTAGCCAATTAGCTAGTTAACAATTAATGTAAATTAGCTTGCTAGTGAGCTAGCATTTTGTTCACATTAGTTAACATCCACATAATCACATGATCAGATACTTTCATTTGAGTCACTTAGAATGACATAAAACACAAACCGTTAGTTTGGTTTAGAATTTGTTTATTAGCACCTTAACAATACATTGGGTTCTAGATTAGCACACATTGAGTTTACATTGTGTGATTGTGTCATATTGCTACTTGGTTTAATATGTTGTTAATTCATTTCTGTTTGTCTTTGAGTTACCTGATCGCTTAGTTCTACTTCCTGGTTTGGCAAACGTTGGGGCTGAGGGCCGAGCCAAGGACCATACCAAGAGCTCTGCCACCAGGGGGGATCAGTGATTCTTTGTGTTGAGTTTCAGTAATTGTCTATGTGGTCCTCACCTATGTGTATTCATTGGTTTGATCAGCCAGTATATATTTTGTCCTCATGTCTCATTCTGGTAGGTCTGTTAGGTGAGTTAAAGTCTTGGTAGCCTTAATTATTCGTAGAGTTGTGTTTTTTGTTGTTTGACCTCTTTAAGGGCCCTATAACTCAGTTAATTCAGTTGCCTTCAATAATCTGTTTTGTTGAATCTTTTTGGGGGAAAATAAACCCAACTTTTGAATTTAAAACCTGTTACTTGTGTCTTGACTGCTTGGTGCACAACGATTAGCTTACGAACTGAGATGTGGCTGTTATGTCACTTTTATTTTTCAATCATCTTCAGAATGAAAGCCTAGCACATAGCATATCATAGCATTCAGGAAAGGAGAAAGTTGACAGAAGTCACAAAAGGGGCGGGGTTTAGGAAGGGTCAATTTAGAATTTAATCTAATGACTTTAGACTCAACAAAATCAAAACAAACAGTTTGCAATGTGACTTTGACTTCACTTGGACCCTGCCTTTTGACTTTTTGCCCCATGTCTGTATTATTGACACTAATTGCTCATTTTTGTTGCAACAGATAAACTTTAAATCAGTTTGACAGTAGCCAATCACATTGGACAAGCTGGAGTGTGTTTGTCACCGCATAATCAATTTGCCTTAAATCATTTCAGTGTTTATTTGAAAGTACTAACAATTTCCAAAAAGCATCAGTTGTTTCTGTAAATGTACCATTCTAACTGCTAACTGTTATTCAGTTTGTTGGAAAATATAGAACATAATTTGTTTGGGATGTGAAGCACAAGGTTTAGGAATGGACTTGGAACTTATTGGACTTGACTTGAGACTTCATTGCCAAAACTTGAGACTTTATAAGGACCCACCTTTGCAAATATCAGTTCTGTACTGGCAGTGATAATTACATTTTGACATACACCACTGACTAAAATGTATCTGAATTGTTGGTTACAGAAATTCAGCAACAAATCCTGCTTTATTTTGTCTTTTAAGCCCATGAAGTAACTAAGTCCTGAATTGCATTATATTGTAGATGTGTTGCTTTTATTGAGTTGCTTTTGTCTATAAGAGACTAACTATGATCAAATAATAATAGCAACAATTAATAAGTATATCACTCTTTATGTATTGCTAGTCTAAAGGAGTGTTGGCTAGTTTTGAATTTGAAGTTATGCCCGCAGGCAGTACTTTTTATAAAAGGGCCACTTCCTCTGGTTGAACTGGTAATTTAATTGTTGGACCGATTTCATTCCTGAGGTCATATTTAAAACCACAAAATGTTCTAAGATGATTCATGTCATGTATACAAGTGTGTGTGTGTGTGTGTGTGTGTGTATATATATATATATATATACTTCAGTTCACTTGATCAGACAGGATTATTCCCGGAGGAGCTCTACAGGAAAGTTGTATGTATATTTATGTTGCATTACACTGTCGTAATGGTGATTCATTTAGACTTCCTTATTATAGTTTGTATGACTTATAACCAAGGTGTGGCACACCTCTTGTACCCAAATCTGGTTAAAATGCGTTCACGGTTGCAATGAAAAATGTATTAACTTACTTCATAATTAACATTGATTGAGATTTGTGTGTTAAAAAACCAAACATATTATATATTTTTATTAAATTATGGACCCAGCAAGTTGTCATTATTTCCCTTATTAGTTTGAGTGACAGGGCAAACGTTTTAATAACCTTATTATTGGTGTTCCAAAACTTTCTCAACAATTCACCATGAGGAATTTTGCAATCCAAGAATATGTTAAAGATTCAGTGGGCAACTTAAAATGTTGTCCCTGAGTATAATGAGCTTTCCAAACCCCCCCAAAAAATCAATACACAATATTAGTGAGTGAGTCGAGTTGTATTAACTAAGCATAAGTCATTCTCCATTTGCTACCATACATCCATGTTTGCTACAAGAAAACCTTAATCGAATCTGCGGTTCCTGAAAAGGTCACAAACTGCTGACGTTAACTCTAGTCTTTGGGGAATGTAGTTTTTTTTGCCGTCGGGACTCTCTCAAGACAAATGTTTTCCGCTTTAGAATAAGACTTCATATCCCAGAGGTCACTGCGGGTAGCACGTCGACTGACGGGACGCATTAGCTCACGCGGACTGTCTCTGGGAGTGCTGAGTCGAATATCCTCTCTGGCGTCTCACCGACAGAAACCGGCTGTTTTATTTCACCGGAATCGGAGACAAAACATTGCACTTCAAGTTGGGACGCTCCTAATCATTCCAAGGGGTGACCTTAACACCGGGTTTTGGGCGGACACTTACGTAGACCGAGAACTGCGTAGCTCAAATCTCACAGTAGTGAAAATCCAAGACCCACGATGGACCCGAGAGACACTGCCCCTGATTCCTGGGAACAAGAGGACGATGTGGAGGCCACAATCGACGGACAACTTGAGTCGGCATTTCAAACCCTAAATGTGAACGCTAAACCGTTTGTGCCCAATGTAAACGCCGCCGAATTTGTTCCGTCTTTTGCCATTAAGGCACATTCGGAGAATCTCGACTCTGCTGGTAAGTTCACAGTCACGTTGGGGAGCTACGCTAGCTAGCATTTAGCTAACGTTAGTTGCTAACGGCAGTCTGGGCTGGGTAGTTGCTAGCTTGCTAGCCACTGTACAGACACGCGTTCCTTGAAGCGCGACACACGTTAGGGTAGCTAGTTGCCGGGCTGTTTGGTGTAACTGTAATTTACTTGGTATGCCGGACGCTGTTTAACTTTAACTGTAACCTGCAATGTTAACGTTACTGAAGCAGTGGTGCTGTAGCTTGTCGAACACTGTCCTAACTGTCTTTAAAGGCAGCAACACAGCCGGCATTAGCTTGTTACAACGAACCGGCGGAAGCTAGCTAGCGGTCTGGTTAGCCCGTGTGGTTTCACAATTGAACGCCTGTATCTGTGTTTAGTTCATGCGTGTGGCAGAGCAACTGCTTGTTCTAACCAGCACATGGAACCAAGAATCGAGGTGCTGGCGGTCACCTCTGTCATTTTGTAACAGTCCGACTTCACCTGATAGTAAACGCTGGGCTCGTCATTGGAAAGAAATGAGTGGGAACGTGAGTGTTTGGTGTGACGTGGATGTTCTGACGCACTGCTGGTCAAGAGTGGGGCAAAATGTGTCATTGGAAACCGCGTGAAGGCAGACCTGGCCGGGGCTGAATGCTACAGCAACACGGCCGCCTTCATTGGAAAACGCTTTCATTTTATGTTAGCATATCCCATATCTGCAGAGCTCCCAATAAATAGTTTGACAGACACTGTGTTGGTCATATCCCGCATGCCACGGGTTCCAAAACCTTCCACTAGTGTCCCCATTTATGCAATCCATGGGCAATGTCGCCCAAAGGAACTTTTCTCCAACACAAACTTGAAATGTAAAGCTGTTGTCTTTCCCCAGCTTTGACTTAAGTTGGCATGTGGACATAGTGAAATCTGTTAAAGTGACAGTAGGCAACTTTTATTTTTAAAAAAAGTCCTATTTGGTTAAACATTAACTACATGATGGTACTAGTGCAGGATAAAATGTAAAAAAATAAAATAAATTGTTGTGTCCACCAGCCCAAAGCATCTTAACATCTTTTTTGTTCTGATTCATTGTTTTTGTTGAGGCCTGTTGAATTCTTTCAAATACCATTAGGAGCACTAGGAGTCAGAGGAACCTGATTGTTTCACTGATTATCTGTCTCATGTTCTACTGACCGGATATAGTGAAAGTTTCAGCAAATATAATTTTTATAAAAATGACTTAATGCACCTTTAAGGTGGCCTCTGGAGGCAGAGTGAAATCTGTTTATGCAACATGAAATAATACCCTTGTTTTCATTTGAACTCTCACAGTTTAAAGATTTACACTCAGTATTGAAATTCCCACACTGTTTCAGTATTTGAGTTTGGTCTGTAGCTAGGGGAGGTCAGTTGGGTTCATGTCAAATTAGAAATAACTTGAGCATTGTTTATTTTTCAGTTGCTGTTGAAAAGATATCCACCATGGAGGGGTCAGAAAATGCTGGTACGTATGGGGTCCATGTATAAGCGGGATTTCCCTCTGTGCTGTGTGTCACATACATGCTGTTACTGCTTACCTCATTGTCCGACATGTGCAGGCCCACACTGAACAGACAGGATTAACAAAGCCTATATTGACTTACATCATGAGTTACTGAGACCCAATTACAGCAGGTCTCTTTGCCTCCATTCCCCCTTTCTGTATTCTTTCAGCAGTGTTGTCTATATGTATCTGCATCTTTTGACCACAAACTAACTGAACAGTGCGTTTTAGACACCTGTTTATCTTTTGTTTTGTCTCAGGCTGTTTCATTATCTCTGTCACATTGACTGGGGCTCTGTTTCATTATCACTTTAAACAGTGGCCTTGTTTTAGTGGCAGATAACAGCACAAAACGTACAGGAGTACTTTAGAGAGGCTTGCGGTTTTCAAAATCGAGTTGACTTCTAAGCTTGTAAAATGTGATTATAAATTATTTGTTTCTCTTGATGTGAGATATCTACCGCGTAGTAGTGTGCAGCCACATTGGGTATTTTTTCCCTTTTTTTGTGTTAATAGCTGCAATAGCTAACCTTTTTATAAAGTTTTTTTTTGTCATATTTGCTGAAACTTTCACTATATCCTGACAGTAGTACATGAGACAGATAATCTGTGAAACAATCAGGTTCCTCTGGCTCCTCCTAGTTCTCCTAATGGCATTTGCAAGGATCCACCTTGAATGAAAACAACCAATCAGAGCCAAGCCAAATATAAATATATTCTTTTGGTTGTAGCTGTCAACAATCAACTATCTTTCTTGGCTCTAGTTGCCTTTCTTCGGGCCTGGTGGATTCTTGCAGAAACCTGATGATTATCTGTCATGTTCTACTGTGATGATAAAGCAAATATGATTTTAAAAATATTTACATCAGAATTTTAACCCGACTGTCAGATGGATTGTTATAGAGAACCACCTGGGAAGTTGTCGTTGGAAATTGTTTAAAAACTGGAAACTGAAACAGAAAAGAGCAGGTACTTTCAGAAAATATGTGACACATGATTGGCTGAACCATCTGTCTATCACAGTTAAACTTCAACCAATCAGATCAGCAACCATATAACATAGTCAAACTCTTACCCAAGCCAGTTGGTAGAAGAGCGAGAACATCTCTTCCATGGTGAAAAACCAAATATTTAGGTAGTAAAACTTTTTCTAAAC